TGTCTCGAATCAGCACATTATCATAGCAACCCGTATGATGATGGGCAGGAATATTACATAACATACCACACAGCACGCACTTCAAATCCAGGCGTGTCTCCCTCTGAGGCCCATACTATCTACTGTGCTCTGCCAGCCCGTCCCAGGGGGAGCTCAGTACCTGTGTGCCTTCACGCCTGCCTTTAGGGCTGCTTTTGAAATTCCCTTTCATACCTTCCACATGGTAAGGCAGAGAGAAGGCAGCTGGTAAAAAGGTAACCTCTTAGGGAAGCTCTAGATATGGGGATAGAAGATGTGTTTAGCTCTGAATGGACGCATTTGCAGAAAATAGTTTGTGCATTTCGGTGAGTCCTTCAGTGATTTGGAGGTTAAGCACCCATCACCTTCTGCCTACCCAGCCTCTCCTGGCCCAGTTTCTCTGAACAACTTCATGTGTATCAAGCTCTTAATTACAAAGGATAAGATGGGGGCTGGCGCTGTGGCTCAGTGAGTTAAAGCCCCAGCCTGCAGTGTTGGCATCCCATATGGGTGCCAGTTCGAGTGCTGGCTGCTCCTCTTTGGATTCAGCTCCATGTTGATGCACCTGGGAAAGCAGTAGAGGATGGCCCAAGTCCTTGGGCCCCTGCACCCATGTGGGAGACCCAGAGGAAGCTCCTGACTCCTGGCTTCAGATTGGCTCAGTCGCGGCCATTTGGGGAGTGAACCAGCAGATGAAATACCTTTCTTTCTCTCTCTCTCTCTCTCTCTCTCTCTGTCCCTGTCCCTTTCTGTAGCTCTGCCTTTAAAAAAAAAAAAAAGATAGAATGGAGGATAGGATGTGAGATCCTGACCTGCCCAGCTTCTGGGCCCCATGTCTGTGTCTCCTGGCTGAACTCCACCTTCTCGATGCTCATATTAGGCAAACTAGACCCTCTGAGATTCTGAGAAGGATAAGAGACTGGTGGTGCTCATGGTTGAGGAGGCATCTAGAGGACTTGGGGTGAGGGGTCAGGAGGAAGAGAGTCCCCAGAACGATGCCCTCAGAAATTCATCCACCATTAAAGTTGGGTTCAGTCTTTTCATTTGATTATCATTTATAGCCCTGACCTATATTCCTGCTGAAGGTACGGTCTTTTTATTTGCTGAACTCTTTATTTAGCAGAGCAGTAAGCCTTTGATTATAATGTAAATTAAAATATATTTTCTCAAAAATAATAAAATATTAAGTTGGGGGAAAAAACTGGGGTTCACTAAGAAGTGCTGGGGCTCATGCCAGCCTCTCTCCTCCATGTCCAGCAGTCTGAAAGGATTTCAATCATGACATTGGGTGGACCCCCAAGAGGCCACAATTTGGGTGGGGGGAGCAGCCACAGGCTCCTGTTGCTGGCAGGGCTTTCAGTGTCCTTGTTGGCCTGAGCTCTCAAAGGGTCAGCTGTCCATACCCTGAACCTGAGTTGCCTGGGGCCTGTGAAAGGCAGGCGCTGCTGCAGAGGCCGGGCTCCAGGCCAAAGTTCCCGAGTGTGACTGTGCCAGAATGCCCCGCAGGACTCCTTAATAGCACGTGTGCAGGCCGCCAGAATCCGGGCCTCCTGGTTGGGCCCGGATATCTGGGTTTTTAATAGATTCTGTCAGCTCTGGGAGTTCCATTCCTAGGGATCTCAGACCTGTAGGTATGGGACTGGCTGATGAAGGCAGATAGCAGAGAGGTTACGGAGTGGGCTGCAGAGTTATTTGATCTCTGTGAGTCTCAGTTTCCTCATCTATAAAACAAGACCCTTAGAATGTTGATGTGGGAATGAAATAAGAATATTTGTGGACAGGATTGCTGGCCCTGGTCAGCTCCTGGGAAATGGGGTCTGAAGGTGAGAAGTGGCCAAATGCCTCCTGTGTGTCTGTGCATCTCCAGGGAATGGGGTCTTCCTTCAGACAGGCCAGTTGGGAAGCAGCTGACCACACCTTGGAAGAGAGCCGCTGGTACCGTTACTTGTAGCCACTTGTAAACTGGGGGTATCTTTCCGACTCACTCCATGGGGTCTTTGATAGAGGCTGTGTAGGGACCTGGAGCCCAAATATTTAGGTTCTAACCCCTCTCTCACTCTCTGTTATGACCTGGGTGACCTTGGGTTAGTGAATTAACCTTGCTGGGCCTTGGTTTCCCCATTTTTGTACAATATACTATTTTCAAGAAGCACAGAACCTGCTGAGAATAATATAATAAGCTGCTCAGCCCTGTGCCTGGTCCATAGCAAAGGCTCAATAACTTATGGCCACCATGATAATTATTATTCACCATGCACCAAACTTTGGCTGGTCTCTGTCCTCTTTGGCTCAGAGGCTTGCTCAGCCACACCTTTGGGCTCTGCACTGGAACTTTCCATTCGCTGGCTGTGACCTCTGCGACCACAGCCCAGGGCCTGCAGCATCATTGGCTGGTTTGTGGTCCAGATCTTCTGTTTCCAATGTTTGGAACTGTTAGGAGAAGCTGAGGTGATGACGGAGGGCATGGTTGGCTGAGCTGAGAAGATAACTTGGGATCAGGATGCCCTCAGCAACTCTCACCTCTGCCCTTTCCTGTCTGGATTAGGGAGTGGACATGACCCTTGCCCTTTGCCCCACTCCCTCCCTTGGCTGTTCAGGGAACACCTTGGGCATTGGCTGAAGGGCTGGTGGGGTTTGGATTGCTGCGTCAGCCTGGGTGAGGCAGCCAGGAAGTCATTAGGCTTTTGGCACCAGAATGAGGTCAGCCAGGGCTCCAGGAAGCACTGGTGCTGACTTTCCTGAGCGCATCACAGGCTCTTCCCAAAGGGAAAAGCCTGGGCAGGAATCCCAAGGGGGTTGTGGTGTGGGTGGAAGCCGAGATAATCTAAGAGAGATCTTGCCAGTTTGCAGGAGTTATTCTAGGTTTCGAACTCTCCGGAATAGGAGGAGCCTGAGTGAGGTGTTGGAGCTCAGGGAACCCTGCCTGGGCCCTGGCACCTGTTCCTGGGCTTCCCTCTTCCTGGCACCTTGAGCACATTCCCTGGCTGTAGCGTTCCTATCACAGTGTCAGGGAGGCCTCTGCCCATACTTGAGTTGATTATCTGTGCTGGCCATGGGTTCCAAGTCATGGCACTTGTTCTCCCTGAGTCTAGATAAGCCTTGGAGGCCTTGCAGGTGTGGCTCTCTAAGCAGCAGTGATGGAGCCTTGCTCTCTCTGTTGGTGCTGTAGTGACTTATCCTCCTGCTTAGACTCAGCTACACCAGAGCAGGCACTCGGTCTTGTCCACTGCTCTGTCCTCAGTAACCAGCGTGGCACCTGGCACATACCAGGAGCTCAGTAGACATCTGTGGGCATGAATGACTATTCTCCAATGGACGCAAAGTACAAGTGGCCCTCCTCCTCAGTATCCATGGGTTCTGCATCTGCAGATTCAAGGCAGACTAAAATCTGGACTAAAAATACTCTGAAAATCTGTGTCTATACAGAACACATACAGACTTTTCTCCTTGTTGTTATTCCATACAACAACTATTTACCTTAAGTAATCTAAGGGTGACTTGAACTCTATGGGAGGATGTGCACAGGTTATATGCAAAGGCCATGACCATTATGTTTTTTTTTTTTAATTTAATAAAGTTTTATTTTTTCAAAATGTACAATGCAGTGGACCTGCTCACGCAATTTCACCGGCAACTGGGGCATCTCCCCCCTTGGTGTTTCTGGTGTAAATCACTTGAGCTCTGTGCTTTGAAACCAGTTTGATAAGTCCTTTACTCAGGAGCTCCTGCAGGGCTGCCCTGGCCAGGGACCCGCGGATCTTCAGTCTCTCAGAGACCACGGCCGGAGTTATGAGCTTGTAGTTGGGCACTTCCTTACAGAGCTTGTCGTACGTAGCTTTGTCAAACAAGACCAGGTTATTGAGCTTGTCCCGAACTTTGCCTTTAGACTACTTCTTCTTTTTGGCCTTGCCTCCAGACTTGTTCACGGGGTCCTTGTCTTTCTTGGCCGACTTTCCAGCATCTTTTTTCTTCTTGTCGTCCTTGGGCGGCATAGTGAGGCGCGGAGAGCAGCAGCGACCACCTCAACCTTGCAAGATGTCGGACAAAAAGCGACCATTATGTTTTAATAAGGGTCTTCAGCATCCATGGGTTTGTATCTCTTCAGTGGTCCTGGAAACAGTCCCCCATGGGAAATGAGGAACAGGACAAAGATAGTGTCTGATTACATCTAGGACAGAATAAAGAATAAAAAAAAATGAGTGGGCATACATCTTTATTCTGAGTTCAATGCTGGTATGTGTGGCCAAGGAAAGAAGGTAGTCTTGCACACTTGACTGGGGATGTCGCTTCACCACGTAACTCACTCAGGAACGTGGGGAGGAGTGTCGTGCACCAGTGGTGCTTCTAGCTCGTTCCAGGCACAAAAACACTTGCCTTTTCCTTGAGCCATCCAAGTAATTAGTAATAGTTAGCAAATTACCACTTCTGTTTGTGGGCACCAGGAAACAGAGGCTCAGAGGGATTTACAACACACGTTGAAGAGCATGTGACAGTTGTGTGTTGGGGCTAAATCCAGAACCTGGGTCTCCCCACCTGCAGGGCAGTGGTCATGCTCTGGCCATTGTACTTGTACTACTTTCTATAAAGCTTTGACCTATGATTTGTCACATGCTATGTTTGGGTTTCAGAAGCTTTTTAGATTCCTGCTGGCCTTAAAAGTATCAACTATCCTGGGTGCAGCCTTTTTAGTACCTTTGAGCTTTTTCAGTCTAGATATTCTTAACCTGGAGCCCCACGAGCTAAGAGATGCAAAAACTCTGTGAGATTGTGTACTGCGTGTCGTGTACGGAGGCATTGCTCCAGAGATGAGGTCTGAGCCTGCATCAGATCCTCCTAGACGGGTGCATGGCCCCAGGATAAGGTTAAGAACCAATGATGAAAATCAACTGTACCATTTTACGTGTGGGGAAAGTAAGGCCTGTGCAAAAGAATTGTTGAAGGTCCTAATCTTTGACCAGAAATTCTCTCTCTCCTGTCAACAGAGGACTGATTGTGGTGAGCAGCAACCTGAGCTACATCATTGAGCCCCTTCCTGACAGCGAGGGCCAACACCTTATTTACAGATCTGAACATCTCAAGCTGCCCCCGGGGAACTGTGGGTCTGAGCACTCCAAGCTCACCACCAGGGACTGGGTCCTTCAGTTTACACAGCAAACCAAGAAACGACCTCGCAGGGTGAGTTTTGAGGTCCTCAGTGCAGGAGTCAACTAGCCATAGGCTTGTCTCATCCAGAGATGCTTACTTTGAATCCCTGTCTGTCTGCGCTGAAGTGGCATGGCTAAGAAGGAAGAAAGAACCTCTCTGTCTTTTTGTTTGTTTGTTTGTTTAAGATTTATTTTATTTATTTGAAAGAGTTACAGAGAGAGAAAGAGAGGTCTTCCATCCGCTGGTTCACTCCTCAGATGGCCGCAATGGTCGGAGCTGTGCCGATCTGAAGGCAGGATCCAGGAGCTTCTTCCAGGTTTCCCACATGGGTACAGGGGCCCAAGGACTTGGGCCATCTTCTTCTGCTTTCCCAGGCCATAACAGAGAGCTGGATCAGAAGAGGAGCAGCTGGGACTAGAACTGGCGCCCATATGGGTTACCGGCGCTTCAGGACAGGGCTTTAACCCACTGTACCACAGTGCCGGCCCCCTCTTTTTCTAAGTCATTGTTGAGTATGGCTAATAATTACTTTGGAGGAAAACACCAGCCTGTTTGAAAGACTGTGAGATGCTGATTTTAGAAATGTTATAAAGGCAACAGTACATATGCCCATATGTATATCCCCTCTTTTGGAATAGCCACTTCACCATGCACAAAATGCTCGGATTTATTTATACTGAAAATAGAGGTGCGTGGTTTAAAGGTTATCCTGGGGGGGAAGGTAATTTGGGAATTTTCTTCGTAGTATTTTGGCCTCTGTTCTGCCTGTCACAGCTGGTAGCATCCGTTATCTCTTGAGGGTAAAGGACTGGGTCCTGAGTTCCAGGGCAGCCTTCAGCAATCACCAGATGTGACAGGAGGTGTAGCAAAGGTGATGGTGGCCACAGTCGGGGCTCTGTCTCTTGTGCCCCGGGTACAAAATAAATAAGAAGGTTCACTGTTCACTAACCACATGTATTTCTTAGCAGTTTTTTGATATGAGGCCAAGCCTACCATTTCTGCAGCTCTGATCTGCTTCTGTCTCTTTCTCAGATGAAAAGGGAAGATTTACACTCCATGAAGTACGTGGAGCTTTACCTCGTGGCCGACTTTGCAGAGGTAAGGGGTTTTCCCAGAAAAACTGCTCTCTTGATAGCTCCCAGTTCAGGCTTTGAGCTGCATTTGGGGAAATGCTAACACATTTATTTTTCTCTGCTTTATCACATGATTTTGACCTTAAATCTGGGTTTTTTTTCTGCCATTCAATTATAGCTGAAAAAAAAATGGAAAAACCTCTCCCAACTTTATCCATTCATTAGTTAGAAAATCAGGACAGTTACCTGGATCAACACTTCTTAGGCTGAGTCCAAAGAACTTTAGGTCCTGATATTTATTCTTGTGTAAGAATGGTCCGTGAATTCTATGGAGAAATTTTTTTAAAGATTTATTTATTTATTTGAAAGTCAGAGTTACAGAGAGAGAGAAGGAGAAGCAGAGAGAGAGAGAGTGAGGTCTTCCATCTATTGGATCACTCCCCAGATGGCCACAACGGCTGGAGCTGTGCCGATCCGAAGCCAGGAGCTTCTTCCAGGTCTTCCACGTAGGTGCAGGGGTCCAAGGACTTGGGCCATTCTCCAGTGCGTTCCCAGGCCATAGCAGAGAGCTGGATTGGAAGTGGATCAGCCCAGAACTCGAACTGGCACCCACATAGGATGTCAGCACTGCAGGTGGTGGCCTCACCCGCTAAGCCACAGTGCTGGCCCCTCTCTGAAGAAATTTTTAAAATCTTCTTTTTATAAAAATAAGTATCTTCTTAATGACCTTGTTCTTACCCACATGTGGGTGCATTTTCACCATCTTGTTGGAGCCAAATGAGGACCTAATGCCTTGGCCCCTGGACTAACAACACCTGAAAACCTGGGAAAAATGCAAATTTGGGGGGGCTACTCCAGACCTACTGAGTCCTAAACTGTCAGGTACGGTCAAGTAATAAATTTTTTAAAAAGATTTATTTTATTTGAAAGAGTTACAGAGAAATGTAGAGACAGAGAGAGAGAGGTCTTCATCCACTGGTTCACTCCCCATATGGCCACGATGGCCAGAGCTGAGCCATTCTGAAGCTAGGAGCCAGGAGCTTCTTCCAGGTCTCCCATGAGGGTGCAGGGGCCCAAGCACTTGGGCCATCTTCTACTGCTTTCCCATGCCACAGCATAGAGCTGGATTGGAAGCAGAGCAGCTGGGACTTGAACCAGTGCCCATATGGGATGCCAGCACTGCAGGCACTAGCCCCCCCCCCCCCCCGCTACTCTACTTCTGATCTATAGAAATATTCACCTTTTTGAAAAAGATTTATTTATTTATTTGAAAGGCAAAGTTACTGAGAGGCAGAGGGAGAGAGAGAGAGACGGAGGTCTTCCATCTGCTGGAAGACCCGGAAGAAGCTCCTGGCTGCTGGCTTTGGATCAGCTCAGCTCCAGCTATTGCGGCCACTTGGGGAGTGAACCAGTGGATAAAAGCTCTCTCTCTCTCTCTCTCTTTCTCTCTCTCTCTGCCTCTGTCTCTCTGTAACTCTGCCTTTCAAATAAATAAATAAATCTTTTAAGAAATTATTTATTTATTTTTAAAAATATTTTGTTTATTGTACTTGAAAGAGTTACATGGCTGGCGCCTTGGCTCACTAGGCTAATCCTCCGCCTGTGGCGCTGGCACCCCAGGTTCTAGTCCCGGTTGGGGCGCTGGATTCTGTCCCAGTTGCTCCTCTTCCAGTCCAGTGCTCTGCTGTGGCCCGGAAAGGCAGTGGAGGATGGCCCAAGTGCTTGGGCCCTGCACCCACAGGGGAGACCAGGAGGAAGCACCTGGCTCCTGACTTCATGATTGACGAAGCGCGCTGGCCGTAGCAGCCATTTGTGGGTGAACCAACGGAAGGAAGACCTTTCTCTCTGTCTCTCTCTCACTGTCTGTAACTCTCTTTCTCTCTCACTGTCTAACCCTGCCTGGCAAAAAAAAAAAAAAAAAAAAAAGAAAAGAAAAAAAAGGAAAGAAAGAAAGAAAGAAAGAAAGAAAGATTGAAAGAAAGAAAGAGTTACACAGAGATAGAAGGAGAGGCAGAGAGAGAGAGTTCTTCCATCTGTGGTTCACTCCCAAAATGGCTGCAATGGCCAGAGCAGGGCCACTCTGAAGCCAGGAGCCAGGAGCTTCTTCTGAGTCACCCACGCGAATGCAGAGGCCCAAGGACTTGGGCCATCTTCTACTGCTTTCCCAGACCATAGACCTGGATCGGAAATGCTGCAGCCGGGACTAGAACCAGCACCCTTATGGGATGCCAGCGCTGCAGGCAGAGGATTAATGTACTGCACCACCGTGCCGGCCCCCTAAAAGGACTCTTTCTATGGCTGCTCTACCTAGGTTACAAACATGAAACGTGGTCCTAGAGGCAGTGCCACACAGTGGGAAGAGCATCAGACCTCAGGCGTCACGAGCTGCCTGTGCATGTTGGTGGCAGGAGGAGGTGGCTCTTGAGTTGTCTTCTTAAAGGACAAAGAGGAGTTAACTGGCAGAGGAGTGGAGGTGAAGGACCTTCCAACCTGAGGGAACATTGTGTTCTGCTTTGACAAGAACTTCACTCTGTAATTGAAGTTGGTGTTGGCTTTCCCAGCAGCTGTGTGTGTGTGTGTGTGTGTGTGTACACGTGTGTTGTGTCTTGTTTCTTCTCCAAAGACGATGTGTGTGTAGGATAGGGGAGTCTTGTAGGAGCCAAATCCAAAGCCTATTTAAAAGTCAGATGAGGCTCCATGGTCCTGACAGGAGGCAACCAACTCCTGACTCAGGCCCCTACCTTATAGAGCTGCCTGTGGTGGGAGGGTTCTAGAAGAAAGCTGAGTTCCTCTGGCTCTGGGACATTTTTCCATTTGGTTTTGCATCCAGGATCATCTCATACAGTGGTCTTGAGCCATTTCTTTGGGCCACAGATCCTTTGATTAGATTAAATCTCCAGGGACCCCAATAATTAAGCCTATGGAAACCCAGCTGCTGCCTCATAGTCAGTGTGGCTGTTTGTCCCGTGGGACGTGAGTCTCAAGCTCCCAGAGAAGTGGGGATTGCATGTCTTCTGTCTCCTGACCTCCAGCCTCACAGCAAGCTCTGGGAGGCACAGTGTCTGTTCAGGGTGCCTCAGGAGTCGGGTGTCGCCTTGCGCTGGGCTCTTCTCACAGAGCAGAGGCTTTCTGACCTAGCTCCCAACAGAGCCGTGATTCATGCAGCTGCCTGGATAGGGGACTGTGCATTTCCCAGGTCCTGGTCCCTCTCCCCAGCAGCCGAAGGCTCTGAGTGATTCATGGGCGCCTGTGGGTGAGGGGGTGGAATGGATCGGCTGGGTTCACAGGCTAAGGAGTCAGCCCCTTCCCACCTCACACCACAACCTCTCCCAAGGGCCTATCGTCCTCTGCAGGCAGAAGCGTGTTCCTGACAATGAATTAATGTGAAAGGATGGGAGACAGACAAGAGGAGGGCCACCTTGCAGATTTACAACCTGCTGCGGAGATAGGACAGCCCTCTCCTGCAGGCGCTGGAGTCAGAGATGAGAGGGAGGCAGGGCTCTGCCTAGAGAGCGTTGTCAGTGGTGAGCACAAGCAAGCAGAGCCTGGGCAGGGCTCCCAGGAAGCAGAGCCCAGGGGAGCAGAGTCAGGCGGTGCTGCAGTTTGAATATGATTCACATTCCCAAATTCAAGCTGGCGTTTAATCTCCAAAGGCTTGTGCTAATGAGATGAAGAGAACGGAAATTGAGTATCACTGTGGTGTGAGGCCCTTGGAAAGTGTTTGTATTGTAGTACCCCAGGATTGAATCTCGGTGGGTTCATAAGGACAGGAAGAGGGACCACACACAGACACAGAGACACTTGCACTCGCACCCTACCAGGATGTGATGTAGCCAAGGAGGGCCCTTGCCAAGCCAGAGTCATGCTGTTTGGACTGTGAACCTCCACAACCAGGAGCCTGAAGACACCTCTTTTCTTTATACAGTAGCCAGCCTCTGGTGTCTCCTTGCAGTAGTGAAGAAATGGCTCTCACAGCGGGATGGGGGAGCTGTAAGCACAGGCCTGCAAAGGGCTTTCCTGCTACTACCTACAGTGTGACGGGAAGCCGCAGAAGGACAGTGCTGTCCCATGTTGTAATTCTGGTGTCACCTAGAAAGTGGAAGGTTGAGAGAGTCCTTCCTTATAGCAGGGATCTGTGCAGCACAGCCCATGGCCAGAGCGAGCCCACCATAAGTTGTCGTAAGCAGTTTTGTTGGAACACAGCCATGCCCACAGGTTGCTGTGTTGTCCGTGGCTGCTTCTGCACTATGGACGCAGAGCTGAGTAATTCTGACAGAGACAGCATGGCCCACAAAGCTGAAAGTATTTACTCTTTGGCTCCGTGCAGAAAATATTTGCAGACTCCTGCTTCAGACTATTGTGACAGTGTAACGCACTCCTTGAGCATGGTGGCCTTGTCATGCAGGAATTTGAAGATAGGAATAATATGTTTGAAAGACAATGAAATTTAACCCTGATGTTCTAATAAATATTTACTAAAAAAATGGAAATGTTGCAACACTTCTGTGCCATGAGACCAGTTTAGAAGTGGGTGGCAACTATAATGAGAAACTTCTGGATTAGAACCTTGGAAAGGTCCAAGTCACAGGGTATCACACCAAATTTAATTCTATCAAAAGGAGGGGTGACACTGAGATTCTCTGCTGGTGAGTCAATGTCCGAAAACAGTGGGAAGAGGAGAAACAGTGGATTTCTTCCCTGAGTCAGAACTGGGACACACCCCCAGCCAAACAAATATCCCAGGCTGTTTCATTTGGCTGTTCTTTTGGCTGCTTATTTGGATATTCTTATAGGATGGGGTGGAGAAGGAAAGTGAAGCTTTGGAATTGAAGTAGCATGTGTAGCACAATATTCAAAGTAAATCAGAGAGACACCCAGGTTCTGTGTGACATTGGCAGGGTACAGAACATGCCCATCATTCACAGATTTAAGTTGAACTTGTAGCAGACTTTGTCTTTACACTCTAAACTTTCCTTTGTTAATTGTAGCTGAAAGAGTTCTTTCCAGGCAGGAACGTTAAATATGAGACATTCACACTGATGTGTCCTCCTCCTGGTACCCATGGCAGACATTTCTAATTGAGCTCAGCACACTTCCCTGTGCTCAGTTAGAAGTGTCTGGTTTTAGTCGGACTGCAGTCCAGAATTTTTGTGAGCAGTGGAGGCACTGCCAGTCTATCTGAGTGGCCTGCAAGATAGGCCCATTTGCCATCCTGGTTGTGTTGCCAGCACCCACCGTGTCATTCATATGACCCTCCATGCATGCTCCTTAAATGTAGGATCTTCTGGTCCTCTGCTTTCACTGAAGCCCTTTTAGGCGAAGACCGAGATCTCATACTTCTTTGTATCCCACCTACTGCTTAAGCACATTACTGTTCAGTGACAGCTTGACTAGTGTTGACTGGCTACATGTAGGGAAGCCTGGTGAGATCTATGTGATGTTGGCTTCATGTTGAGGTGACAGCCAAGACAAGGATCAGATTGGTCTCTCTTCTAAGACCCAGTGGCAGGCTGCTGGAAGCCTTGCAACTTGAAGGACAGGTGATTAAGACTTACTTAAGGGTTGGCAGAACCACTGTTTAGTTCACTTCACAGTTGTTGCACACCTGCTATGAACTAGCAGTTGAGGGTATCAAGACAGAGATGGCCCAGGTCATGCCTTCCCCCAAAGCTACACTGTGATAGGGAAGACAGTTGCATAAAAAGAACAGCACACAGAAGATAAAAGAAAACAAGAACAAATTCAGAGACAAGTAATGGGGAATAGGAAGGGTCCTGGGAGAGGTTCTGGGATCTCACTTTGTTCTGCTTCTTCTATTTAGTTTCGGAAGAACCGTCTAGACCAGGAAGCCACCAAACACAAGCTCATAGAGATCGCCAACTATGTCGATAAGGTGAGACCAGGTGTGTACCTTGTGGGAAATGTGCCAGTACCTCAGAGAAGCTACAGGACAGGGGATCACCTGGCACCTGAGCTGCCTTCTGCTGGATTGGCTGCCCTAGCCAGTGATGAAAAAAACTGAGCAGTGGTCATGATGTTGCCCTGAGCCATGTAACCTTGGACAAGTAATTCATCTTTGGGTTGTGATTTTTGGATTTGTTTTTAATTTATAAAATAGAAGTGCCAGCTTACATCAATGACTTCCAATTATTTTTGTTTTTCTCGTGGACTCCTTTTTAGAATGAAATCTTATGCCAGTGCCTGGTATAATTGTCAGATGACAGCAGACGGCTCTATGCCAAAGCAGAGTTGAACACTCAGAGCATTGCCCTTCTGACCCCTTCTTGTTGCCTCTGCAATGGTTTCTGAGGAACCCAGGGGTAGAGGACCCCAGTGTAAGAAACTTTGAAGATTCTTTTAGGTTCCTTTCTTGTGTAAATCTCTGGGATTCTTTGATTTAGGTTGGTATTGAGGTAGGATAAGGTGAGAAAGGTACACAGTTTTATAAGTTGAAAAACAGGGTACTTGGGGCTATTCATAAATCTGTCCTAAAACTACTTCTCTCTTCCTCCCTCTCTCTCTCTTTAAATTATTTATTTGTTTGTTTGAAAGGTAGAGTTACAGACAGAGAGAGGGAGAGACAGAGAGAAGGTCTTCCATCTACTGGTTCACTCCCCAAGTGGCCGCAACAGCCAGAGCTGGGCAGGTCCAAAGCCAGGAGTCAGGAACTTCTTCTGGGTCTCTCATGTGGGTGCAGGGGCCCAACTACTTGAGCCATCTTCTACTGCTTTCCCAGGCCACAGCAGAGAGCTGGATCGGAAGAGGAGCAGCTAGGATTCAAACCGGTACCCATTTGGGATACCAGCATTGACCCCTTTTTCTTGTCTCTTAGGAACTCTGTGAGAACGGTTATTTCCTGAGTTAAGACCTTTGACAACACGGTCTTTGGAAATACTCAAGTTTTTGAATATTAATAAAACAAGCTGTTTTGGGACCTGGAAACATTTTGTGTATATGAAAGAAGGGATTCATTATACCACAACATGCAGAGTAAACATCCATAGAAGGACAGTAGCTTCTTGGTGAGCTAGTAGTGCATAGTGTAAAGAAGTAGATGTTAGTGTGGTTGGAGTCACAGATCTCCTTGAGAGTATAACATTAATTGTATAACTTAGGATGATCCTAACACTTCTGAAGCTTAACTCTGGACCTACTAGGAATTCATGAATTCCAAGAATAAAGAGGAAATCATTTTTTTTCCCTTAAGCACTAGAGGATGAAAAAAAGTCTTGGTATTTTTTAGGTATATTAGTGAGCAAATTTGGTTGTGTTCTGCTCATTACATGTGAGATTCTCTGCCCCTTGTTTTTGTTCTGCCCTGGAAGGCTATGGAAACACAGGCCAGTGTTCATTGGCAGGTGAAAGTCAAACACTGGCATTGCCAGGAAGGAAGGACTCTGGGGACACCATCCATTCCTCTCTCTAGCTCCCAGCTCACCCATCAAGAACATTTAAATGATCCTGCAGCCCAAATATTCAACATCTGGGAAAACAAGAAAAGTTTGTTTCCCTGGAGGGTAGACCCTGCTGCTGTCCATGTGACATCCATTGTTCTATACACAGCAGGTGGGAACTTGGCTGGGTCTCTCCATTGTGAATTCTCCAGCTACTCTGGGTGACAGAACTAAAGGTGCTGATGAAAAATGGAGGGAGAAGAGGGACATCAGGAAACCCCAGCCTGGCCCATCCCTTCTGTGAAGCAGGCTTGGTTCTTTCTGCAGCAGCTGATGTTAGTTACTCCCTGCTGAATAGGGGAAGGCACACCCACTTCTCCAAAACTTGCTGACCCAGCTACTTAAACTGAACGTTTGTTGAACTAAAACTGGAATGAGCTGCACTCATTTGCTGAATCATGAGCCCAATCCAGAATATTTTCCTTTAACTATGAAAAAACCAACTTTACTTCCCTAAAAAGCTCCCCAGTGGAGCGAATTCAGATTGGAATCCAAACTCTGTTTTCTATAATATCTGACCTGGCATAGAACAGAAAAATCAAAAATTTCATTGAACTACCTGGAGCTTATCTTAGAGTACAGTTTCTTGGGGGCAAATTGTTAATTTGATTGTGTACACACAACAGTACTGTAAAGAATAGGGCTGAGAGCAGGCTTGATGTTTAAGGTAGGACTGCAGCCCTGGGTCCACCATCTTACTGCTAAGACTTTGGACAAGTTCCTTAACTTCTCCAAGCCTTGGTGCTTGATACAAAAAAAGTGCTCCATAAGTGCTGGTGCCACCATTACTGTTTTTGGCTGGGGCAGTACCTGCCAATTTTGAATTAAAGTGGAATCTCCTGGTCTTGTGATTTTTTTTTATTATTAAAATTATGGGTGTGGTAGTTTCTGAGGTAGACTCATGAAAGCACCCCTTGCACCCATACCTTCCAGTGGCCTAGCTTTAGAGAAGATGCCCCTCCTGCTTATGTACGTATGAGATGGAAGATTCCATATCCTACAAGTCAGATGTCGTGTTAGCCTTAAGGAGCCTGCAAGGCAGGTTTCATTTATAGAATTTCAGGATTGCTGGGTTGGACAGTTCCCTGAAGGTTATATATGGCTTCCGCGGTCCGATGCCTGCAACCTGTGTGTGGTATTCTTGACCAAACCTCAACCCTTCCAGGGTTGGGGGAGGAAACTTTGAGAGTAAGCTTGCCATCCACTTGTGTATCACTTACTCGCATATCCTTACGAAATGAGTGGGAAGCACCTTCCAGTAAGCTATCTGTATATAATTTGGTATAGACATTCTGTGGACTATTACTCAGCAGTAAAAAGGAATAAACAGGCTACAATATAGATGAACCTCAAAAGTTTTATTCTAAGAAAAAAGAAGTCAGACACAAAAGGCCCCATATTATGTAATTCTGTTTGTTTTTTTAAAAACTCTAGAAAAGGCAAATATCTAGAGACAAAGAGTATAACTGGATAATAAGGGATTTTACTGTATGATGGAAAGATTCTAAAGCTACATTATTATGTTCATTTTATAACTTTTTTAAAATTTAGCAAAAAATATTGAACTGTGCACTTAAAATAAATTATACCTCAAAAAAGTAAATTATACCTCAATAACATTTTTCTCAAGATTCCATACACCAGATAGCTTTTAGATACACAGGAAAAGATCGGGTTTGTGTGAGGACTTGGGAGAGAAGATCATAGCAGACAGCCCAGACAAGGGTCCTCCTTGCAGATTACAGCAGCGCTTAGCTCTGAGCTGACTCATGACCAGCTTTGTTTGAAAGCTTCTTCCCTACCTTAAGATGAAATTTCTCTTGCTGTCTGTTTTACCTGGTGAGCTCAGCCCTCCTGAGGACCGGGCAAGACGATACCCATCCTTTTCCCACGGGAGAGTGCTGCAGCTACTTGAGACCAATTTTCTGTCCCATCTCAGTCTTCTGTAAGTCAAGTCACCCCTATGTGCTTCTCTCGAAGCTTCCCTTCCCCTTCTGAAAAAAGTACCTCTTCCCCCCTTATCCCTGGAGCCACAGGTGGCGGGAAATCTGGTCTCTGTGCTCTGAACTCTTTGGCTAGGAAGAGGCTGTTAAGTCCCAAGTGGTGTTGACAGCTCCTGTGGCTTTTCTGTGTGTCCTTTCAGTTTTACCGATCCTTGAATATTCGGATTGCTCTCGTGGGCTTGGAAGTCTGGACTCATGGGGATATGTGTGAAGTTTCAGAGAATCCGTACTCTACTCTCTGGTCATTTCTTAGTTGGAGACGCAAGCTGCTTGCCCAGAAGAATCATGACAATGCACAGTTAATCACGTAAGTGACGTCTCCCTGTATGTCTTGCGTTGGCCTTGGCCGCAAAGCCTCTACCCACTGTGCATGTCCTTGGTTTGCCTCTTTCTTTCCCAGAGGTGAGTGCTGGTTGTAGAAGGCCATCCTGGCTCCCTGGTCCTGGCAATCAGGCTTTTCTCAGACATGTGCTTTATACCCAGCACACCTTGAAAAAAAATAGTAAAAACTGCAAGAGTCAGACCAGTCCTTTCTCCAGGAGAAACTTAGACTTGACACAATCAGTTGAGTACCTGGAGCGATGGAGTGTGTATTTGGAAAGTGTCTGGCTGTTGGTCATGGACCCCTGTGAAACAGACTTTCTAAGGGGCTCATCTTGATTTTCTGAGCACTTTGTTCCAGTACATGGGCTAATCTCCCAGTACAGGCACAGCAGAGGGGTATCCTGGTCGTCCTTGGGAGCTCAGGACCGAGAACCTGAAACAGTGCAAGTGGCAGAGAGTGCAGAAACTGTGTGTGTGTGTGGAGGGGTTGGGTTGGGTTTTCATCAGTTCTGGAGAAAAAAGAACAGACAGTGATAGGGGGTTGTGCTGATATGTGACAGTCTTCCAAGGGTGATTATTATACTTATTAGTGTTGGCTTCCAAAGTTGCTTTGAGGTAATTATAAAAGACACATAGATAATGAAACCAAGAGTTAGCACAGTCATTTAAAGCTTGTTTTTTCCCTTTAAAACAGGAAAATAACTATTCCCAACAACCTGGACTTTAAGTGATTACTTCACAGAACTGTCTTTACCTAAGAATATTTTTGGTTACCAAAAATTTGGGCCTGAGCTTTGGAAGCATAGTGTCCTTCTTTGGGCCAGACTTCAAATCCGGGTTTCTAGCAGGTCTTCTTCAGAGCACTGGCTAAGTGCTCCATGCACTCATAGATGGGCATGCGTTTTGCATATTCCTTTGTGAGTTGATTCTCTGAAATCTGCCTTGAATTCAGCAAATACTTATTTTGCACCCAGGTTCAGGCTAGGTTGAGTAATTCCGGGATAAATACCATAGTCTTGACTTTCAAAGATTTCATGGTCTAGATAGGAAGACAAGCATGAAGATAAGTACTATGTAATGAATCTCCGTGTACATGTTTGTGGCATGCACAACACTGGTGTCTTATTTCTTCTTTCTCCCCTGGGTGTATATAGCTGAAAGAGGGCTCTGTTAAGCAGGGGGAATGTAGCTGGCTGTTGGCACATTAGGGTCACAATTGCAAAACAAAGGCAGAAACAGTCAATTCTTGCACCCAGCTGTACTTTGTGAGGCTCCTGATGGGACACAGCTGTTTCCTTAGCCCCAGATGATGTGGGAATGAAGCATCAGCTCCACAGCTGCTGCCCTAAGCTCCCCACCTCCATCCCTCAAAACACACACAGAGCCAAGCTCAGGGCACAGGACCCTGGCAGGTGGTGAAAGTGAGCATGATTCACTTCAGCGTCAGAACCTGTGCCACCTTCCCTGAACCCCTCCTCTGACCTCTTCCTGTGCAGCAGGAATGGGATGCAGCTTTTCAAGCCCTGCCCACTTCCTTCCAGGGAACTGGTTAAGGGCATACTGTGGGGGAAACATGATCTTTGGCTCTCTCTGGTTATGTTTCTCTGTAGCAGTAAGGGAGTAGGTGAGAGGAAGTGAGAGGTGTGGCGACCTGGAAGTTTTCCAGTTGGCCTGATTACCAGGGTACCTCCCCTTGGGAATGATCTGGGGATGTCTGTGGGGCCAGGAAACACCAGGGTGGCCACCCACTCCCAGGCACATTACAACAACATTTTCAGCCTCCACCCAAATCACCCTTTCCTTCCTTCTTGGCAGGGGCAGGTCCTTCCAAGGAACCACCATTGGCCTGGCCCCCCTCATGGCCATGTGCTCTGTGTACCAGTCTGGAGGAGTGAACATGGTGAGTCTCAGTTCCATTGTGTGCTGGAGAGATACGTATGTTAAAGAGAAGAATGAGGGAGAAGTTCACCTCTTTCCTTTGTTTGTAAAGCATTTATTGGCCTGGAGATTCATCAGTAGGTCAGATGGTCTGCAACCTTCAAGAACTCTGGGAACATGTTCTTCTTTTAAATATTTTATTTCTGAATAGTGACAGTGGCTTTAGAATTGCTTTCCAAAGTAGGTGTGGAGGGACTGCATGCCTAGTAACAGTCGAATCAGCAGAGAGTTGCCAGGCTTGGCTGAGGAAAAGGCAGGGAGGTGGGGGAGAGGCAGATCTATCCCCTTGACCTCCTCCTGAACTCTCTCCCTGAGCAGGACCACTCTGAGAATGCCATTGGCGTGGCTGCCACCATGGCCCATGAGATGGGCCACAACTTTGGCATGAGTCATGACTCTGCAGACTGCTGCTCTGCCAGTGCCGCTGATGGTGGCTGCATCATGGCAGCTGCCACTGGGTGAGTCAAACAGGAAGGGTGAGGATGGGGAGGAGGGTGGGCCGCGGACGGTGAGTGGGACCCAAGTGTTCTTCCCACCTGGCCCCAGGGAACCCCTGGTATAACTCTGGGGGAGCCTTGGAGAGAATTGTGGTTTCCATGACAAAGAACCTAGCAAAGGACCAAGGAGGAAGAATGTAGACCGGAGCACTAGGAGGAGGTTTGGTGCTGGTGGAATCTTAGTTATTCTTATTTTCTGTCTTGGTATCTTCAGCTGTATAAAACTGGCCTGACCACATGTCTGTTTTTTCCTTCATGAATTCTTGATGAGGTCACAATCCTTGGTCCTTCCACTGCAAAGGAGTTTGGTCACTGCTGTTACTTGCTTGAAAGGTCTGAGGTAGCCCCCAGAAGGGAGCATCCGCACACCTCACAGGGACTCCTCAGGGAGGAGTTCGCAGGCTGCATTACCTACAAGGACCAAGGACAAGGCGGCTGCATCTTCCTTTAGTCATGAAAGATTTTTGCAAAAGGATTTATTTTGTCCGGATGGCACCAGCCTCCTTGGTAGCACAGTTGGCCACTGTCTGGCTGCTGAATGCTCAGAATTCCCAACTCATTCAGCCTTACCTTCTGTCAGGCACCCTTTCCCCAGAGTATTCAATGGATGCAACCGGAAGGAGCTGGACAGGTATCTGCAGTCTGGTGGTGGAATGTGTCTCTCCAACATGCCAGACACCAGGACGCTATATGGAGGCCGGAGGTGTGGAAATGGGTACCTGGAAGATGGAGAAGAGTGTGACTGTGGGGAGGAAGAGGTAAGTGTCACAGCAGTGCTAGTGAGAGGGAAGAATTTGCATTGGTTTTAAAGCTTCAGGTCAAAAGTGAATACAGTGGAAAATTCCCTGGTCACAGGCATCTGTTAACATATGACTAAAGGCCCCACTGCATATCAGATGTGTAGAGTAAGCCTTCCAGGTAGACTGTATCTGGAGCCTCTCCCGTTTGTGGTTAGCACTGTTTGTCACTAAGATTAGAGAGCATCTGTCTAACCAGAAACCGTGATCATGAGGTGTGGTGGCTCTCCCTTCCCCAGTAGAGCCGCAGATGGCCTCTTTGGCTTTTCCAGCTGGAGGCCGCACAGCTGGACACATGAACTTGAACACGGGCCTCCTGAGGATGTTTAAAATAACAAGCGTGCACTGTTGGGCCTGGAGACGGGGTGACTGAAAGGGGATGTAGGAAATGCTGTCATCTGGAAAGGGCTGCGGAGGGAGAGGGAGCAGAACTATTTGTGAATAATCTCTTTCCTTCCTTCTGATCTCCAAAGTGAGTGTGAAGGGCACACAGCACGGCTCTGTCATTTTTAACAGCTGCGTGTTGCTATGCAAAAAGCAGAACTGAGTTGTTTCATCTCTATTTTTTAAAAGATGGAAATGTGTATGTGAAATATATGTGCAAAACAATTTGGTCAAAAAAACCAAGTGACAGTACAAAGGAAGTTCAAGGAAAATGTAATTAAAAGACAAAAAGTGGGGGTGAGGGTTTGGCCTGGCAGTTAAGACAGGATACCTGCATCCCACGTCGGAGTGTGTAGATTCGAGTCCCAGCTCCCAATCCCAGGTTCCGTTTCTGCTAAAGTGAACCCTGGGAGGCAGCAGGTCAGTGCTGAAGTCGTTGGGTCCTTGCTACCCATATGGGAGGTCTGGATTGAATTACCGCTTCCTGGCTTCTGCCTGGCTCAATACTGGCCATTGTGTGGGCTTTTGGGGAATGAACCAGTCAGTGGATGGGAGCTCTGTGTGTCAATAAAGGGAATGTCTATTTTTTCAAGAACTATTTGAAGCTCCTTTGAATAAATAAAAATAATGTATTTGACCTTATAATCTCTAGTTGTGATTTTTTTAATGCCATCACGTAAATTTCAGAATAAAATAAGGGTTAAAGAGGCTACCATCTCTGCCCTCATGAGCTTAGAGAGATCAGCCCAGACCTTCAGAAAACAGGGAGTCATGTTAGTGTGGAGGGAGGGCCAGCAGGTGGGATTGAGGTGGGTGAGTTTGGTCAGTTGTTTTTTATTGGCAGCTGCCTGTTCAATAAGTACTAAATGTGGGCTTTGGATTGGGGGGGAGGGGTTGGAAAAATGGCCAAAAAACACATGGTTCCTTTCCTTGGGGAGCTTGTAGTCTAGCAGGGGAAACATGCATTGACCAAACAACTGACCAAGTACGGAAGTATAGTGCATGGCAAGTGGGGTTTGCACAGAACGGCCAATCTCATGAACAGATACAATGTGGAAGGAAGCTATTTTGGTGGGAGGGGTTGGGAGCACAGGGAGGGAAGGCATATTTTAGCTAAGTAGGAGATCCGTCTTGAGGTGGGAAGAAATACGTATGTTAGAAGAGCAGGTGCACTGGCCTAGAACCCAGGATGGTGTGGGGAAAGCAATCTTTTTCTTTATAGGAGACAGGTGGTGAGATGTGTCTCCACAATATGCTAGACCCCCAGTTATAGTTATAATATGGTTAATAAAAATGAGGTGGCCCCAGGCAGATAAGACTTGAATTCGGCCGTGTGTCCTAGCCAGCCAGTGGACATGAGGGCATTACTGCCTCACAAGCTGTGATGCTGGAACCTGGAACATTGCCATGAAATGGTTTATGGGCACAGCTGTGAACACTGTAGCAGCATAATAAGGACACTCAGTCACTGAGAGGGATTTTAAAATTTCAGGCTGTATGTCAGCCAGTGAGGACTTGAGGGACAGGAAACAAGAGGAGAGTGTTAGGGACCCCTAGAGACATTCTCTTCCTGAATGGTCCAGGCTGAGGAGATCTAGGAAGGACAGCAGATGGAGAAAGCAGTCTGAGGGCAGAGGCCAGGCGTGCACATGAAGACGTTGTTCCCCATGCCTGGCTTCATGGGCTGCAGTATGGGATAATAAGGCCTGGAGTGTGTGCAGCCTGGAGGGGTTTGCAGCAGTGGAAGACAGGCTCCCCAGATGTTCCACTGAGCATGAGAAAAGTAAATCAGACATTTCTCTGTAATGTAAGACTGTGTGAAAAGCCATGGTTTAGCAGACTACAGCTGCCTGGACAATTGTGTATATTCTATTTAGTTAAAAAGCAATGCAGATACTGTGATTTTGTCAAATTAGCCTAAGAGTGTGTGTGTTGGGTATGGGAAAATGCACTCATAATGTAGTCGCATGTAAGTTGTGGGCACTGAGGATTGAGCATATGTGCATTTTCTCTGATAAATCCTTTTGCCTTAGTGATGAAGCTGTCAAGTGATTTTTTGGGAGAAGGGGTTCCTAGGGAGCTGGGACTCCAGGGACATGTGGGGGTGCAGGGCTGGGGTGTCGCTCGCTCCTGCTCTGCTGCCTCAGGAGCTCACGCTGGCTCCACTGTCTCCCCAGGAATGCAACAACCCCTGCTGCAATGCCTCTAACTGCACGCTGAGGGAAGGGGCCGAGTGTGCCCATGGCTCCTGCTGTCACCAGTGTAAGGTAAGTGGCCTTTCCCCCTGCCTTGCCCTCCTTTCTGACAGCTGAAAAAAAATTAAGCACATTTGGTGATAAAACGTGATTCTAATTGGCATAAGACTAACTATAATTTCTTAAAAATCACATCTAAAACGTATATTTATATTTCATTGAAGAAATGATAATATGTTTGATCATGGAATCCTTGCTGGGGACTTTATTTAAGATACATATGTAATTATACATGTACATATATCATACATAAAAGTATATATAAGCATAGGTGAGTGTGTATGTACTTACATGTGTACATGAGTATACCTATAATAATACCTGCCTTCTGAAAGGCATGGCCTGAGAGTGGCCTCAGAGGGGCCTGTCAGATTGTCTGCCTCCCAAGAGGACCTTTGTGGGTGCTGTGGGGTCCCCTGGGAGCTCCTGGGCTGGGGGCAGCAAAGGACTTTATCCTCAGTTGGAAGTTTCCTTGCCTGGCTCAGGGGAACTCACACGCCACCAGGTTTGACCTGGTTCCCTGCAGGGAGGCTGAGCTGAGTTGAGTCCTTCCAGTGTTGAACCAAGGCCTAAGAGGAAGCATGGAGTGTGGCCATCCAGTTCAGTCCTAGGAGTTCAGCTTAGAAATCCTCAGAAAGGATTCCCTGGGGTCTGAAGCCTTGGCTAAGTCCTGCCTGTGGGACTTTGGGCAACCTTGTACCCATGAGGGCTGAGGTTCTTTCTTTATCTTTAAATGGGAAGCATGTTGGTAACACTGGCCCCTCAGGGAGGCAGTAAGACTCAAGTAAACGCTCAGTTTCTACCATTTGCCCCAGCTGTGCCATGAGTCAAGGTATTTAAGCTGCAAAGCAAGGAAATAGCGTTGTCCGTCTCATGGATACTGTGAGGATCACATGGGCTAAGTATGTGTAACATACTCTGCCCAGTGCCTGGCTCGATAGCGGGATGTATTATAGCTAAAGTGCTTTGTAAATTCACAGAAGACATGTGTATACTAGTTTTTTGTACATGTGTACGTGAGTGTCTGTGTGTGTGTATTTATATGTGTGTAATAATGGGCCTTTTTCCACTGCAACTTAGGAACCATGAGACTTTGGATATGTTGTTTAGCCTCTTTGAGCCTCTGGTTTCATCATCTGTTAAACAGGGAGAATTTTATTACATGGGTCCATCACGAAATGAAATTGTGCTGGGCTCTTCTGTGGGAGCCGCGTCAAGGTTAGCTGTTGTTACTTAAGCATGTAGAAAAGTATTATACAACTGTTATTTCCTAACCACTTTTTATATGGTTATGAAGAAGGAAGTGAGTTGGCATTTGTGAAAGGCCCCTGAGAAGCCACCATTTGGGTTAGAGGGTTGATGATGGCCTGAACTGATAAGGTCATAAAAAATGCTGTGATATAGTGACAATGGACATTTCCACTCCACAGGAATGGTGCTGAGAAGCCCTTGGGTAGTACGGTTGAGGGAGACAGGGAGGCTGACTATTTTTTGTTTTGTTCCGTGGCTCAGCTGCTGGCTCCTGGCACCCCGTGTCGTGAGCAGGCCCGGCAGTGTGACCTCCCGGAGTTCTGCACTGGCAAGTCTCCCCACTGCCCCACCAACTTCTACCAGATGGACGGAACCCCCTGCGAGGGCGGCCAGGCCTACTGCTACAACGGCATGTGCCTAACCTACCAGGAGCAGTGCCAGCAGCTGTGGGGTCCTGGTAAGGGCTCCCCTGGGGAGCAAAGCCCACTTTCCTCCCCACCACTTCCCAGCCAGCACCCCTGTGAGACACCTGGCAGGTCAGGGCAGCTTCAAAACAGCACCTCCAGGTCCTGCCTCCTTCCTTCCCTTACTCAGGGGAGGGGTTCAGTGAGAGAAGTGGGCAACGTTCCTCCCAGTCCCTTGAAACTTCAGTTCTGAGAGTGGGCGAATGAGTGTGAATAATCCAAAGGAGAAAGAAGCAGAACTTGGCCACAGGAAAGCAAATGCAAATGGTCCTTATGCTGTGAAAACTTATTTAAGCTCAGTCATATTAGGGAAAGCAAATTTTCACCACTGTAGGGTTTATGTGGCTCACATTGGTGAAGACTGAAAGTTGATGTGTGACTCCTGTAACAGCAACAACAGCAGTAATGTGGTGCTGTGGAGAGTATGGAGAAGAGATACGTGTGACCCAATGCAAAGCAATTCCGAGATACCAAAAAAAAAACAAAAACAAAAACAAAAACAAAAAAAAACCCTTTCTTTTAAAGATTTATTTGTTTTGAAAGAATTACAGAGAGAGAGAGAGAAAGAGAGAAGTCTTCCATCCATTGGTTCAATCCTCAGATGGCCACAAACAGCCGGTGCTGGGCCAGGCCGAAGCCAAGAGCCAGGTTCTTCATCCTCATCTCCCACGTGGGCAGCAGGAACCCAAATACTTGGGTCATCTTCTACTGCTTTCCCAGGCCATTAGCAGGGAGCTGGATTGGAAGTGGAGCAGCCAAGACTTGAGTCAGCATCCATATGGAATGCTGGTGTCAAAGGCAATAGCTTTACCCACTACACTGCAACACGGGCCCCAATACCAAAATTTTGAATGTGCTTATTGGACCTTTCACTTATACTTCCTCATTGTATTAACTTAATTAATCTATATTCCGGTAGTTAATATAAAGTACTCAAGTCTGGGTGCTTCACAAAGAAAACAGGTTTGGGGCTGGCACTGTGGTTTAGTGGGCTAAGTCTCCACCTGTGGTGCCAGCATCCCATATGGGCACCAGTTCATGTACTAGCTGCTCCTCTTTCGACCCAGCTCTCAGCTATGCCCTGGAAAAGCAATGGAAGATGGCCCCAGTCCTTGGGCCCCTGCTCCCTCATGGGAAACCTGTAGGAAGCTCCTTGCCCCTGGCTTTGGATGGGCTTAGCTCTGGCCATTGTGGCCATATGGGGAGTGAACCAGTGAATGGAAGACCTATGTCTCTGTCTGTTTCCCTCTCTCTGTCTATAACTCTACCTCTCAAACAAAAAAATAAATCTTTAAAAATAAAAAGAAGAGCAAGACTTGTCTTCCATGCCCTTGCTAGCTACAATTTAAAAAAGGAAGGAAGGGAGGGAGAGAGGGAGAAAAAGAGAGAGAGAGAGAGAAAGAGGAAGGAAGGAAGGACAGAAGGAAACAGGTTTACTTAACTCACAGTCCTGGAGGTTCAAGGGCATGGCACTGACATTAGCTCATCTCTGGGAAGGACTTCATGCTGGATGGCATCCCAGTGGAGAGTTCATAGGAAAGATAGGAAACCAAGTGCAAGGAGGGAGTCAGACTTCATATTGGTAACAACCTAATTGCGAGAAGTAAACCAAGATTCCAGGGGAACAAGATTAATTCCTTCTGAGGGCAGTGGCCTCAATAAACTAAGTATTTCCCAGTAGGCCCCCTCCTCTTAGAAGTTTGACGCCATCTCCTAGTACCACCATACTGAAGACTAAGATCCAACACATGAACCCTTGGGGAATGCACCAACTCATAGCAACATGAATGCAGAGAGACAGTTGTAAGCTGATATCACACCATTTTAAGTATAGTGATAACAACATGTAAATCCTTAGTATGGACTGAATAAATTAATTCTGGTTCTCTCAAGTGTTAGAGCACTATGTTGTTAAATTAAAGGAGGCAGCTCTGTATGTGTTGAATAAAGTCATCTCCCACAATAAGCCACATAGAAATGCAAGGTGCTGAGCAATGAATGGAATTTGCTTCTATTTATTAGTTCAATTATCTCAAGAAGAAACACACAAGTATACCTATGATAGAGATACAGTTATATCTACAAAATGCTCTGTTAATTGTCACTTCTCTAGGATGTAGGAAAGTAGGAACTGGGTGGCTGAAGGGAAAATTTCCAAAGATGTGCCTTCTGTCTGCATGTATTACTAATTTCCTGAATTCCTGAAATGGGACAGAGCTTCTTCATTAGACAGCAAGCATAGCATGCAACAACCAAGAACTTACCCTCCCCCAACACACACACAAATATAAGTTCTCAATAAGGAACAAATCTAGTATAAACATTTTCCTAGAGATTGATAAAAATGTGAGCATGAAGTAAGCTGATGGGTTACGAGGAGGAAAAGCTGAGTGTCCCCTCCCCCAAACATTTTCAACTTGGGGATTTTACCAAAAGTTAGCTTTGCCCTTGTGGGCTCCTGCCAGGCCAGTGTACTGACAACTGTGCTTGTTGTCCACCCAGGAGCCCAGCCTGCCCCTGATGTCTGCTTTGAGCAGGTGAATGTGGCTGGAGACACCTTTGGAAACTGTGGGAAGGACATGAACGGTGAACACAGGAAGTGCGATAAGAGGTAATGACCGTAGGGCAGACCCCATAGAATGAACAGGGACAACAGGGCAATGCCTGCTCTGTCCTCCTCACTCCCACCCCACACAGCATGGCTGGCCCCAGCTGGAGTCAGTTGTGTGCTCTGGGCCTGTTGTTGGACAATACACCATTCAGCCTTAAGGAAGTCAGAGGGAGGGTGTGGGTGGCAGTGCTTCCTAGAAAGCTGATCAAGCTTCCTTTCAAGATTGCCTTAAAGTAGGGCAGGGAACCAGAATTTCTGCAGAGTGCTAAATAGGCCCTCAACTGAATAGCTCACCACTCGTTTATTCATTCTAACCATCCATCCACCCAGTCACCCACCCATCCATCCATCCGCCGCCCATCCATCAATCCATCCTTCCTTCCTTCCACTCTTTGTTTAAAGTTTACCACATACAAGATAGCACTTTTAATTAACATTACCATGTGATAATGGGGATGTGGAGAGAGCCACTCAACCCAACAAGGTGAGCTGAGTGGTTTCCCAAAGGAAGTTAGGGTTACACTGAAATTTAGAGCAGTTCCTAGGTGAGTAGGCTGGGGAGTAGTGTTCATGCATAAGACACTATTCTAGGTAGAGACAGGTAGATAAAAACTGGCGGCTGGAGGAACTGAGAACAATTTGATAAAGTTAAATGTTTGAGTACAATGGAGAGAAACTATGGAGAAATTAGCATGGATGGTTAATCACAGACCAGATTGTGAAGAGTCTTTAATGTATGACCAGGGGAGTTTGGATTTTGGCTTGAGAGAAATTTGGATATTAGATTCCTAGGGGACAGCACTGAAGCTAGGGAAAATCATTTTCTTGCAAGAGAGGATGTGTTGTGAATTCAGGCAGATATATGAGTTATTCAAAAAAGTTTTTTTAAAAGGGAGGGAGGGGGTGATTAAAAGATAAGTTTAGCAGCAAAAGCATTTGGTGCAGTGGTTAAGATGCAGCTTGGAACACCTGCAGCCCGTTTTGGGGTGTGGCTCCAGCTTCCTGATAAAACGCATCCTGGAAGCAGCTGATGATGGCTGAAATACTTGGATCCCTAAAGCCTGGAGTTCCAGGCTCCTGACTTTGGCCTGGCTCATACCTGGCTGTTATAGGCTGTTGGAGAGTGAATCAGCAGATGGAAGATCTGTCTGTTTGTCTCTGTTTCTCTGCCTTTCAAATAAAATGGGAAATGAAATTAATTAACTTTTTAAAAAGCAAGTTTATTTTAGTGAAAAAAATTATAATCTGTGTAGTTTTTTTCATGATACTCATTTTACATGAACTTTTTGCAACAAAATAAACTTATCATTTGGTTTCATTTTTCTGCAAATTTCCTGAAGTCCTCCTATAGAGGAGGGAACATTCACAGGGCTTGAACATTGCTTGAACCCAGGAGTAAAGTTGGAAATGACCCCAGGCTCTGGCTACAGCACCCTGGGGGATGGTTGTGCAGAGAACCCAAGGAGACAACTTGCTCAGGCCAGGCAGTTGTATTTGAAGGAAGGAATTCCCAAGGCCAGTCCTCCCTGTGCAGGGACTAGAGGTCTGTACCTATCCCTTGGTCTTGGCCCACGTGTGGTCTCTAATGGGGGCTCCTTAGAGCACTTTCTTGTGCCCCAGACCTTTGTCCCATCCCACCCACAGCTGCCGCCTTGCCCAAGAAAGCCTGAAGCTCTGCAGTGTCCCCATTCCTCTCTTGCCTCTGATTGCATCTCCTTGCCTCCCTCTCTCTGTCGGGTCCAGAGATGCCAAGTGTGGGAAGATCCAGTGTCAGAGCTCTGAGGCCCGGCCCTTGGAGTCCAACGCAGTGCCCATCGACACCACCATCTTCTCGAATGGGAGGTATATCCGATGCCGGGGCACCCACGTCTACCGAGGCCCTGAGGAGGAGGGGGACATGCTGGACCCTGGCTTGGTGATGACCGGGACCAAGTGTGGCTTCAACCACGTGAGTCCCTTCCCTCAGACTCCCTCAGGAGCCAGGCTACAGAAAGGAGTGATGGGGACATGTGAGCTCTGGGGAGAGGCTGCCACAGCCCCAGTCCAAGCCCCGCCAGTGTTTGAGCCCCAGTAGCTTCCTCTTTAAAGTGTGTGTGGTGTAGCAAAGCGTCCTATGTAGGACTGTTCTAAAGATGAAAGGAGATCATTCCTATAAAGCACCTAGGTGGGTTAACCAGTATTTTTCATCCTCATTGATTATGATATGAAATTGAAAGGAATTAGAAGTCCCAGAAGACTGGAAAAAATATCAACTATTTCATAGAGTCAATTGTAACCATGAAATTATGAAGAACAAAGGAAGCTCTTGGTATTGTACTTGTCATGACATAGGCTATTGTCATCATAATTTTTTAGATATAACATTAAATTTAGCCTGTATATAATTAAGTAATTAACATATGGCTAGCATAACATATAGTGGGATGCTATATTATGTAGTAGTCCATTGAACATATTGTTTTCTTTCTCCTGAATGACAGAAGCAAGTGCAAAATTTAGTTAACTACTGAGTTGACATTGGCCTTTTAGGCTGTTTGCCATTTTCTACTATAATAAATAACCCCAACCCCGTACATCCTAAGTGCAGAAGCCTGATCTCTGGTTCCTGTCATATTGATCCCTTCACTTCCTCTTTGCTGCAGATCTGCTTCGAGGGGCAGTGCAGGAATACCTCCTTCTTTGAGACCGAGGGCTGTGGGAGGAAGTGCAGTGGCCATGGGGTATGTACCGGGCTTGGCCCACTGGGTCCTATGGGAGGCCGGAGCTCTCCAGGTGCTGACACCTCTGCTCTCCCCTTGCTCTAGGTCTGCAACAACAACCAGAACTGCCACTGCTTCCGGGGCTGGGCCCCGCCTTTCTGCAACACTCCTGGCCAAGGGGGAAGCATTGACAGTGGGCCCATGCCTCCCGAAAGTGAGTGCTCGGCTTGCATGGGGCCTCTGCCGGTCCGTGTTAGAAGGTGTGGGCGTGGGAACAGGGGGCAGGTTGCCAAGTAGCCACATCAAGTCACCTTCACCACCTTGACTTTGTAGATGAAGGAAGCAAGATAAAGAGAGGCCAGGTAGGAAAAGCAAGTGAGGCTCAGTGGCTCTTGTGACCACTGAGGACTATGCACCTATGCCCCTATGCATTATGGAGGACTGTGCACCTAATCATAGAGCAGGAGATTAGGGGAAACTCGGTCATTGATATCCCCACCTGTTCTGAGGGGTTGAGCTGATGACCAGTCCTTTTGCACACTTAAAAATAATGAACCAAGGGCACGTTAGGATGGTTTCAATTTCCTTGGGTGAACAAAGGTTAAAATGTGGAACCAGACACAGAACACTCAGAAAAGTTTTAATTTTTTTTTATGGAAATCTTAGAGATTTTAGCCTGGTGGTTTCCAAACTTAGCAAAGCACTTAGAAAAAAACACCAAAATCTTTCAAGGAAGAAGCTATAATATAGAAAACAGATAAAAATAGTGTTTCATAGGTGTGAATGTACTTTGTACAATTCATGAGAACACTGTGGCAGGTTTGATAACACCAAATGTAAAATCACGGGCTGTGAGTGAGAGTTGTAGGCTGAAATCAGTCTGAGTCTCCTGGTGCTCCGTTTTGGTTGCTTTGCTCTGTGTCCAGAAAAACCATGACTTGGGGGAAAACTAGCAGCTCATGGTGGCAGAGCTTGAATGCTTGCCCTGGGAGGATGTGTTTTCAATTAAACAGAAGTGGCTGTGGAAGCTTTCTATTATAAGGGTTGTGCAAAGCAAGCTGACCTGGCTGTTGAAGCTAATATTAGTGGTTTCCCCATATACACAGTGTGTGTTTTTTATTATAATTCGTAAGTTAAAATCAGTCATACGAATGGAATGCAATCAAACGTCTGAAAGCAAATCAGGAATACATTGTTTGGAATCTACTCCTGCTAACTATCAGACTGCTTCTGAATGTCTTACTGGGATTCTATTTCTGGAAGGTGTTGGTCCCGTGGTAGCTGGAGTGGTGGCAGCCATCGTCACCCTGGTGATCCTTATGCTGATGTACTACTACTGTAAACAGAACCACAAACTGGGCCAACTCAAGCCTTCGGCCCTCCCTTCCAAGTTGAGACAGCAGTTCAGGTAGGCCAGAGTCCCATGAAGGACTTGGGGTCCACTGGTGGATCGTAAAGCTCTCTGTAAGTACCTGGTAAAAATTGGTGGTGGTGGGTCTTCAGGGAAGGTGAATGCAAGGTGCATGCTGTCCTCTCCCATGTGTCATGCTCTCTGACCATAGCAGACATTACTACTTAATCTTAAGTATTCTCTGCCAAGCCTGGTCATCATTTTCAAGTCCTTCTCAGCAGAATGCCCCCAGACAATTCAACTGGAATAGGAAATGAAATGAACTCTATTTGCCATCTATCTGATTTGTTGCCCCAATTTTATTTATTTATTTGAGAAGCAAAGAAAATTCTCATCTGCTGGTCCAGTGCCCAGATGCCTAAACAAGGGAAGGGTTGGGCCAGGGCCAAAACTGTAAGCTGGGAACTCATTTCGGGTCTTCCATGTGGGTGGCAGGGATTCAGCTACTTGAGCCATCACCTGCGGCCTCCCAGGGTCTGCACTGGCAGAAAGCTGGCATCGGGAGCTGAAGCTGGAACTAGAAATCAAACCCGGACACTCCAACAGGGGATATGGGTATCTTAACCACTGGGTCAAACACTATCTTCGTATTCTCCCATTTTAAGGAGTAGGATACTGAGGCAGGAAAGGCTAGTTCAATCCAATCACATCAGTGACTAGACATCAACCCAAGACAGACTAATCTCTTTTCTTAAGTGACTCATCTGTTTGCCTATTGAAGAGGTATAGTCTCTGAATTCTAAGGACTGGCACTGTGTGTAGCGGGTAAAGCCACTGCCTACAATGCTGGCATCCCATATGGGTGCTGGTTCAAGTCCTGGCTGCTCCACTTCCATTCCAGCTCCCTGCTAGTAAACTGGGAAAAGCAGCAGGAGATAGCCCAGGTGCTTGGGCCCCTGTACCCATGTGTGAGACCCAGATGAGGCTCCTGGCTCCTGGCTTCGGCCTGATTTAGCCCTGGCCACTGTGGCCATCTGAGGAGTGAACCAGTAGATGGAAGATCTCTCTGTCTATCCCTCCCTCTCTCTGTAACTCTTTCAAATAAATAAATAAATCTCTTTTAAAAGTTATACTTGCTCTAGAGGGGATTTGAAATCCCAAGACCTTCTAGATCCTTACCTGAGGGGAACTGGTTGATGGCTGGTGACATCCTTGTGTGACTCCTTAGTAGGGGAGACCTTACAAGGGTGATGAGAAGGTGCTAAGAATCTCTGCTTTGTGTAAGGCCAACTCCCTTTCCTCGGGAGTCCTCCATTGCCATGCTAAACTGCCCGCAGCTAGGAGCACGGGTTTGTGAGGACCGATGCTGCTTCCTCCAGGGCGGATGTGGAGAGGATTTAGCTGCTTTATTCTGGCTGGACTTGGGTGAAAGGCAGCTCAGTCACTGACCCTGGCTGAACATCGTCCCTTCTTCCCCTTTCCCGTCCCTTGTTTCTAGTTGTCCCTTCAGGGTATCTCAGAACGGCGGAACAGGTCATGCCAACCCAACTTTCAAGCTGCAAACCCCCCAGGGCAGGCGGAAGGTAAGAGCTTTGTATCACCCAACTTTGCTGCTTTTCCTTTATCCCTTAGGGCCCTGCTGCATTTCCCTAAGAGCCTCTAGGAGCCCATAGATGAGCTAAAAATAAATCCATTTTAGTGGCTTGAGAAACATGTTCTGATGTCCCTGGATGACTTAAAAGGTTGCAGTGACCTCCTGACCTCTTAGATCCTAGGGAGCCCAACAGGCTGGCCTGTCTGTCCTCCCCTGGGACTCTGGTCATCTCAGACACATACAGGGCACCCCTGAGGTGGGAAGTGCCTTGAGAGTTCCTGGGTCTCACACATTCTTTGTCTTGTGCCTACAGGTGACCAGCACCCCTGAAACCTTGCGGAAGCCCTCCCACCCTCCCCCCCGGCCCCCTCCAGACTATCTGCACGGTGGGACCCCACCTGCACCACTGCCAGCTCACGTGAGCAAGGCTGCTAGGAACTCCCCAGGGGCCTCGACTCAGTTAGAAAGGAAGGAGTCGTCCAGGAGGCCTCCCCCAAGCCGGCCAGTACCCCCTGCACCAACCTGCGTCCTGTCCCGGGTAAGTGACTTCTCAGCAACCCTGTGCTGGGAGCATTGCTTTTCAGGGTCCCCTCAATGGGTGATATTGGAGGCTGGGAAGGTAGGTGTCAGGAGTGGCCTGTGGTATTTTGCATTCTGGCGAACACAGAGGACACATGCAGGGTTAGAGCACTGAGCGTGGGAAAACACACGCCCCAGGCAGCCCCTAACCACAGAGCATATCTGCCCTGGTTGGCCTGCTTGATGAGCAGCCACTACCCTCCTGCCACCCCCAGATTACCTGGTTTCAGTTCCCTGAGCCCCTCTTGCCACTAGGTCTCTGCAGATGCTTCTGTTCTGCCTGAGGCATTCCCCTTGCCCTCTGTGAGGCCAGCTCCACACTCTCAGGTACATGTGTCCTTGCACTAGTGCCCTCTCCAACCCCCTGTACGAGTGTGAGTCCAGTGCCCTTGTACTTTCTCACAGAAGTTATCCTACCAAATTTTATTTGTAAGCATCTTCCACTGTTGGAAAGTCGTGTTGAGGGGTGTGCCTTGATGCCTTCCTTATCCAGGGCAGATCAAGGGCCATAGGCCCCAGGGAGGCGAGAGTGGAGTCGAGACTCCTCGACCTCACCAGCAACCTATTCACCATGTCTGTTCTGATGGCCCCAACCCCGCCTTCTCGATAAAAGCTCCCCCAGTGCAGACACAGGTGTTTCCGGGGCGGTGGGCTGGCATGGTGCCTTCTGGAACGGTCTTGTGGTTTTGGGTGTGACCTATTGAGTGAGACGGCTCTTCTGGGCATGATCTAGAGGGCTGCACAGGGCCTATGCTGCCTCTGATACTAGGTGTTGGGGGTTGGCTGCAGGCTTTGAAAGGTCCCTCACTAGTGAGGACGGTGTGACAGTTGGCCAAGGTGAGAAATTGCTGTGCTCCTGTTCTTGCTGTATGAGGCAGGGGGAGGAAGGGAAAATCCATGCGGAAAGGGAGGTAGGGGAGAGACAAGGAGAGAGGAGAGTGTGGGCGGAAGGCAGAAAGCCAGAGGCGGGAGGAGAGGTGAGGGAAGACGATCTGGGGTGTGTTAGTTGCTAGGGCAGCCATAAACGGAGCGCCACAGGGCCGGGGGCTTCAACAAGCACTCCCAGAGGCTGCAAGTCCAAGGTCAAGGTGTGGCAGGGTTCCTTCTCCTGAGGCCTGTCTCCTTGGCTTCTGGCTGTGTCCTCACATGCTCCGTTCCCTGTCCTCATGCATCCCCCATGTGTTTGTGTGTGTCTCAATTTCCTCTTTTTCACCAGAACACCACACTGGATCAGGGCCCACTCTCCTGGCCTCAACTTAATCACCCCTCTGAAGCCCTCATCTCTAAATATGGTCACATTCTGAGGTGCTGGGGATTAAGGCTTCAGCTTAAGAATTTGTTTTTAGAGGGGGAGGTGCACAGTTCAGCTCATATGAGCGAGAGGAGAGAGGGGGAGGAGGAGAGCAGAGAGGCACTGTATGAATATGGGGGAGTAGGAGAGGAAGGAGAACAAAGGTGCCAGAGGAGGGGCATGTAGCAGGGAGCAGAGGGTAGCAGCACATTGTTCCCAGACCCACACTGGAGTCTTGTTCTAGGAACGCGGGTCCAGTGTCACCCCGAGATGCAGGCACCAGCATGACATTAGGGACAGCAGAAATCCAGCTAGCTGAGAGAAAGCAAAGCACGGGGGCTCCACCTGCTGCCCCTGCTCCCGCTGTCCCTAGTGCTGCTGGCAGGGGGGCCCCCGACCCAGAGTCAGCACAGCTTCCCTTGGGCCTCAGGGGCCAAACAGGGATGTTTTCAAAGGCAGGCAGTGGGTGGCGCTGCTTCAAGGGGGGCCTGCAGGGTCAAGAGCAGGCCAGCCTTTTCGTCATCCAGGGCGTTCCAAGGAGTGGGTCATTGCTATCCTCACTTGTCACTGCGGTGACTGAGCCTTACTTGGTTGAAGAGAAGTCACCGCTTGTGAGAGGAGGAGCCAGGACTCAAAGCTGGGTCTCACCCAGCAAAGCGAAACACCCTCCTGTCCCAGGGGCACCCATCACCCCTAATCTGCAGCCCGATCTCAGCTGCACCACCTCCCAGCCTGGTGACATGGGCCACCCTGGAGAGGTAGCAGGGGAAGTGTTGGAACCTCTTCTGCTCTTCCCATACACGTGTGTGTGAGTTTCTTTTCTGTGCACAGCACATGGCACTCACTTCCTGCTAGAGAAGAGACTCTGGGAACATGTAGTTACAAGAGGTGCTAAGTGCTCAGAGTAACTAGGGCAGCAGGAGGGCTGGGGACTTGACCTAGTCTGCATTCCAGAAAGGTGCTCCTAAAGAGGTGGCATTCGCACAGAAACATGAAGGCGGAACAGGAGCTGACCAGGCTCAGGAACCACATGGCTGGGAGGCTCTGGATGGGAGAGAGGCCTGCAGGCTAAAGAAACTGCAGGCTTGTGTTCCTGGGCCCACAGAGCTGTGAGATGAGGCTGGAGATCCAGCAGCGGCCGGAAGTGCCCAAGCCACATAGCTTTGGTCAGGCCTTTGGTCTGGGTGGGAAGGGGACCGTGGTCGCTGTGACAGGATGAGATTCGCCCCGGAGGAGGCTCCTGGTCCGAGGTGCATCCCTGAGATGCCTCTGGGGCTGTGAAGCTCCTAATGTTGGACATGAGTGGGGATTCCACAGCATGTTCACTTTGTGAGAATTAGGTTGTATCTTTAGGGATTTGCCCACTTTTTCACAGGAACTTCAATGAGATATTACTTGTCAACTAAAAATAGCTTTAATAAATGAAAGGCTGACTCTGTGGCAGATGGGTGTGCCATTTAGAAGGTCTTGACCAACCACATTGTTCTGAAGAAAGATGACTGTAGCTTGGAGCACAGGGGTGGCAGAGTGATGGAGCACCCCTGAAAAAAGCCATGTAACAGGTTTTCAGGTTTAAGGTGCACCAGGGGTTATTTCTGCTTCCGGGAAAGAGGGCAGTGTGTGGCTGCTGGTGAGCCAGGCTGGGTCCTGGCCAAGGTGGCTGTAGCAGGGCACTGTCCTGGGAGGCCGGGTGCTGACATGCTGATGTGATTCCTGGCCAGGTGACAGCCCCGCAGTGGCTCATCCTGAGTGCAAGCTGACATCTGCCCCCAGCTGTTGGGTCCCCCCACGCTCACTCTCCTGACCTCTAGCAACCCTTGCATTTTGGCAGCCATCCTGGGCTAGGAAGTGAGGGAGCTCTTGTCTCTCAGAGAAGGCTGCGGCTGAAGGTCATGGCTTTGGGTTCACAAACATCTGCTGCTGTGCTGTTCTCTGAGCTTCAGTTTCTGCCCTCAGTTTTCTGCCTTCTCAGCTCTCTGAGTCATCCCCGCCCTCTCTGTGTGCTTGCCCACTGAGCAACAAAGAAGAGAGATTAATCTTCCCATCCACTGGCTCAGTCCTCAAATGCCCACAACAACTGGAACTGAGCCAGACCGAAGCCAGGAAACAGGAACTCCATCTGGGCCTCCCACGTGGGCAGCACGGGGCCCAAGTACTTGGACTATCATCAGACCTTTGGGGAGTAAACCAGCAGATGGTGTCTGTCTCTCTCTCTCCCTTTCCCTCTCTCTCTCTCTCCGTCTCTCTCTCCTACCTGCCTCTCCCTCCCTCTGTCATTCTGCCTTTCAAATAAATAAATCTCTAAATTTTTGAAAGTGTTTATTTGCGTAGGCAGTACACAGATATATACTTTTGTTACAAAAAGTGAATGGAAGGCAAGCGCTGTGGCACAGCAGGTTAAGCTGCTGCTTGAGACACTTAGATCCCATATCAGAGCAATAGTTCAAGTCCCAGCTACTCTGCTTCTGGTCTAGCTTCCTGCTAATGCACCTGAGGGACAGCAGTTGATGTCTCAAATACTGAGCCCTTGCTTTGGGAGACACAGATGAGGTTCCTGGCTCCTGGCTTCAGCCTGGCCCAGACCCAGCTGTTGCTGACATTTGGGAAGTGAATCAACAGATGGAAGTGTGCACACACACTGTCTCTCTCTGTGTCTCTCTCCCTGTCCCTCTCTTTCTGTTACTCTGCCTTTTAGATAAGTAAATCTTTCTTAAAAATTGAGTGTTCACCTGGATGACTGCAGTCGCACTCACCTTATCCCAGTGCAGCCTCTATTATCAGTTTGATCCATATTCTTCTTGCCTTCTTGTTACGTTTACAGTGTGTGGGGGTGGGGGTGGAGACAAGGTGGTTGTTTTATGTAAACTGTCCTCTGGAGCTTGTACTTGAGCTGGCATTTTTGTTTTCACTTGGTAAGGACTCTTACACATTTCTCCGAGTCAATCCACATCAGCCCACTTCATTCTTTTTAAATGCTGTATTTTATATCACTTTGTGATGTTAATTATTTCCCTATTATGGAAATTTTTGGCTATATATTTTGGTTATACAATTAAATATATATTTAAAGATTTACTTATTTATTTGAAAGGCAGAGTTACAAAGAGGCAGAGGCAGAGAGAGAGAGAGCAAGAGCGAGAGAGAGAGAGAGAGAGAGAGAGGTCTTCCATCTGCTGGTTCATTCCCCAGATGGCCAAGATGGCTAGGGTTGCACCAATCCAAAGTCAGGAGCCTGGAGCTTCTTCCAGGTCTCCCACACGGGTGCAGTGGCCCAAAGACTTGGGCCATCTTCTACTGCTTTCCCAGGCCATAGCAGAGAGCTGGATCGGAAGTGGAGCAGCCAGGACTCGATTCCATATGCAATGATGCAATGTCAGCACTGCAGGTGGCAGCTTTACTCATTACGCCACAGCGCCAGTCCCCAAATTATATATTATGGTTATAAAATTTGATTATATATTTTGGCTATATACTTCCACAAATAGGGCAGCAAGGAACATCTTTACAATTCCATTTTTGGGATAGTTCTCTAACAAGGGATATAATTAATTGTAAGTGGAAGAATTAGACCTGAGAATGCTAATTTCCAATTTTAACAGCTAGTGCCAACTTGCTCTTCCCAAAGGCTTTTCCCTAAGTATATAATCCCTTTATGTGCGCATATACACACAGTTGCTTTTTTTTTTTTTCTGACAGGCAGAGTTAGACAGCAAGAGAGAGAGACAGAGAGAAAAGTCTTCCTTTCAGTTGGTTCACCCCCTAAATGGCCGCTACGGCCGGTGCGCTGCGCTTATCTGAAGCCAGGAGCCAGATGCGTCCTCCTGGTCTCCCATGCGGGTGAAGGGCCCAAGCACTTGGGCCATCCTCTACTGCCCTCCCAGGCCACAGCAGAGAGCTGGACTGGAAGAAGAGCAACCGAGACAGAGTCCAGTGCCCCAACCGAGACTAGAACCCGGGGTGCCGGTGCCACAGGCAGAGGATTAGGCTAGTGAGCCACAGCGCTGGCCCACATAGTTGCTTTTTAAATGGGACCGTACTTACTTGCCTCCCTCCATCTGATTTTGACCCGTAAGATATGAGGAGCACCCTTTCTGCAGAAGGCACCTCTGACCTTCAAATGAGGAACCTTGTTTTCCTTCCAGGATTTCTCCAGGCCTCGGCCGCCCCAGAAGGCGCTCCCAGCAAACCCAGTGCCTGGCCGCAGGACCCTCCCCCGACCAGGGGCAGCCCCCACACCACGGCCTCTTGCTGCTGGCTCTCAACAGGCCCAACCTCTGATAGCACCTGTCCCCAAGGTGAGTCCACAGAAGGCTAAGGCCTTGAGAGGTCAAACTGCAGCTACCGGGGCCCCCAGGGGGGCAAGTGTGTAGTTGAGAAAGCACAGTCATACTTCTTATTAGGCTGAGCTTGCAAGAGAGCCACGGGGAAAGCTTGGTTTCCTGGTACCTCTGGGCTGGCTCTTAGATCCATGACTGGGTGCCTGGGCTTCATGGAAAGGCGAGGGCCAGCAGATGAGCGGTGGTGGCTTCGAGCTGCACCTGCAGGTGCGCCCTCGAGTCCCTGATCTGTAAATGCGCAGCAGCAGGAACCGCCCCGTGAGGTTGCTTACAGGACAAGGCAGTCAGTTTATGTAACTGCTGGCCCGGGGCAGGCTGCATGCAAACTGCCCCTCCTGTTACCTCCTCTCAGTAGCTGATGTTCTGGGGGTGCCACCTTTGGGAGTCCAGGCGAGGAAGCTGGCTGGCAGCCATGTGTTCCCCGAGGCATGGGGAGCTCTGTGCAGCAGCGTTGCGGGGGGTGACCGGTCAACTTGAGACGGGGACCCCCAGCGAGCCTCTTGCTGCGGGACTGAGTCTGGGTGAGCCAACTCGTTGAAGCCTCTCTTCCCACAGACGGTCTGCTTGCCCTTCTGAGCTGTCCCAAGCCAGAGGACAGCTCCCATCGGTCCCACCGGTCAGCACTGGCCTGATGTCTTTCTCCCTCCTCCTCTTTCTTCCCACAGTTGCCAGAATACAGACTGCAGAGGACTGGGGTGATGACCAGCTCCAAAATCTAGATCTGTCCCAGGGACCAGTCTCTGGACACCACCAGGATCCACGGCCACAGAGGCTTCCAGGGGCAGCACAAGTGGCCGCCTCTGGGCTCCTTCTCCTGCCGCCTCCTGGAACCACCACATCTCCAGAAGTCTGCTGCGTGATTCAGTGCCTCCTCGGCTTCCTTGGATGCCCAGAGTGACCACCGCCCAGTGGCTTCTAAGTGTTGCTGTGTGCAGTGCACGAGAACCACCCGGGCCGGGCGGGGAAGCGCGGAGGAGGATGAAGAGCTGCCTCTCCCCCGACCACCCAGCCCACCTTTGCCAATGGAGGTGGCCGGTAGCCTGAGCCAGCTTGGGAGTCTGTTCTGCTCCTCGGGCCAGGACTGATCTGGGAGCCCCCATGCACCCAGGTTCCAGGTGGTGGCTGCGCATGAGAGCTTTCCATTGCTTCTGTCGCCCTTTAAGGGCCTGGGCCACGCAGCGGCTGGGCACTTACTTGTCCCTTCTAGCTTTGAGGGGTCAAGGAAGAGTGGAACCAGCCCCTGCGGTGGCCCTGTCCAGGGCTTGGTCAAGGTGACAGCTCCTGGCTGTGGCTGCATGAGACAAACCAAGTCCCCTCCCCGTCTCCCCCCGCCACGCTCCCTTGTTCACACGGGTCACTCCGACTCCGACAGGTACTATTTGCAGGTGATGTAGACAGCAGGGGGAGCACCAGGCCGGGGCCTCCTCTGAGCCGTGATGCCAAAGGTTTCAACTCTCAACTCTGGATCAGTCCTGGTTGCCCTTCAGGTTCTCTTCTGCACTTTCCTAGTGCCCTGGGCATTTGTCTCTTCCTTCCCCCTCCCACTGTCCCCTTCCAATGTGTGGTGCTGTAGTGAGCGCACCCTCAGCCATCCCAGCCTCCTGGTGTCCCGGTGCTCGTGGCCTGCGCGTCAGGTTCCTGCCTCATGCGGTGGCCGCTGGATCTCAAGTGTTGACCAGAGTAGACTTGGGTCATGGCCACGGGGGTCTTATCTTTATTTCTCTTTGTGTTGTATGAACTCAGCAGGGCAAGGGTCTTCCTCCTTGTTTCCCCTGAATGGCAGCAGGTGTAGTGGAGCAGGCAGACACCCCGAGAACAAGCATGCACAAGCGAGCCAGCCCGTCCCTGGCGTCTCCTCAGCAGTAGAGGTGGACTCCCTGCCCTCTGAGCAGGGAGCAGGCGTGTTTACAATGAAGGAAGTGGTCTAGGGCCCTGCAACAGTCTGAGCCCGGCTCCCGCTCTCCCTCCCGGCCAGGTGTCTCATCCTCCGCTGCTCTTTGTTCTGCCCTTCTGGCCCCTGTCCTTCCTGAGCCTCCCAGAAAGAGCAGGGTGGGGGACTGCACTCCCTGGGGCTGGTGTCCTCCGAGGGGCCAGGAAGAAGGGCCGCGTGGTGCTCTGCTGGACAGGACCGCCCTCCCCAGGCCGCTGGAGATGTCCTGGGAGAGGTGCTGGCTTGCTCTCGGAGGGTCTCACTGCTGACTCTCACTGCTGAGGGTCTCCCACCTCCTGCACTGAGCAGCTGTGTTTGCTCTTGCTTACCTCCTGGAGGAGGTGGAGGCCGAGCTCTTCACTCCCCACCACCACTCCAGGGCCTCCCGATGGTTCTCAACACACAGTAGGTGCTTCATCGGGAGTTGGTAGACAAGTGGGAGAACGGGGATGTGCCCTTGCGAACCAACATGGGAAGGAGGGTGAAACGCTCTCAGGAAAATGGGTTGCCCTTTGCTCAGGGTGGCTGGGATGCTCACTCAGCTCGTCCTAGCCTGGCCCTCCTGGCCCCCACACCCACTTCCCTGCCTTCCTTGTGCTACATTGAATCGCAAGGCAGCCCAGGCCAGTGTGCCATACCAAGTACCCCTGCTGCATGATGGGCCCCAGGACAGTAAAGGTGAAGATGCCCCCCCCCACAAGCAAATGGGAGAAAACGCACCCTAGACCCTCCTGTGGCTCCCCAAGCCTTCACCTCACTCCAGGAGGTGGGTGGCCTTGGAGTGACTGCATGAGCCTTTCCGAAAGCCACGCTTGCTAGAACTAGCCAGAAAGGTTGTTGCTTTTTGTTTTGTTTCTGTTTTCAGTATTATAGTGCCACCTCCAGCCCTTAAAACCGTACTGTGAACTGGAAGATGGTGGAGTTTTTTTTGAGTTTGGTAGAAACCAAAAGAAGCCAGTTCTGGTTCCCAGTTCTGGTTCCCAGTTCAGTTCTGGTTCTGCTCAACAGGCCAGCGAGGCTGCCCCAGAGGAAGGCCCACCTTCACACACCCACTTGCCCTCCAGCACCCAGTGTGCTTCTTTGGGGTGGCAAATAGCCCACCCCCTAAAATCCACACTTAGGGAAGAACAGACTGCATTCTCAAGGGAATGTGGGGCTGTTGGAGCCGGGAGAGTGCTCAGACCCACCCAGCCGAGATGTGCAAGCGCCTCACCGCCCAGGCAGGCAGGACAGAGCAGTGCACAGGGACGGCTGGGCCACCTTTTTTGGGAGGCAGCATGAGGACTGGGAAGAGGGTGTCAGTGGTCCAGGCTCAGGGAGGGGCAAAGCCCAGGGTCTTGTGGGGAGGAGCGAAGCTGGGAGCCCAGGTCTGTGAGTTAACTGGCACTTTCGCCCAGATGGAGATGTGTAAGCAATCTTTTTAAAAGCCACACTAGCCTCCTGCCAGGTTTACAACCCTGGGATGTTCTTAAGGGTCCTGGAGCCACCTCTGAACTGTAAGCCACAAGGGAGGTGGTACCCCTTCCTCCTGGTGTGGCAAGCAGGGAGGAGTTAGCCTCTTCCCCTATGGCTGCAGCCCCTTACTGCCTCTTGCAATGATCCTTTTGAGTAAAGACCCTGCCCCCAGCCGTGACCTAATTCTTATTTGACAGAGGGTACGCAAGACTTGCAAGTTCAAAGTTGGGGCCCAGTTCTCAAGTCAGTAATTATGTGAAAAGCGTGTACAACAGCTCGCTGGATGCCCTTGCAAGCCAGGGGAATGCTAAGTTGAAAGGTGCCCTTGTACCAAGGAGACCTGCTAATGTAAGGCTCTGCAGAACTTGAGCCCAGCACCCCTAGAGCTGCCCTTCATGCATCCCCTCAAACCTTCCAGTGTGTGTACCTGTGTGTCTGGGATCCAGGGCAATGTGAATTTTATTTTTATTTAGGAGATTGTTCACGGAAAACAGATCCTTTTCTCTCTTGTCCACCTATTAATTGTTTACAATATTTGTACATCTATGCAAAATACTTGAATGGGCCATGGTGCCTTTTTTTTTCCTTGTTTGTATTTAATTAAAATGAATTGTCTGTCATTTGGAATGTTATCTGGTTTGGCAATGTTGTGTGTGTGTCTGTTAAAATATTATTCATGGACTCTCTTGAGAGGCAGAGACAAAACTCAGTCTCAGCTGTTCTCACTTCCCCAATGCCCACCAGGCAGAAGTTGGGAACTCATTCCAGGGCTGCCATGTGGGTGGCAAGAACTCAACTACTTGAGCCATGATCACTGCCTCCCGGGGTCCACATTAGCAGGAAGCTGGAATTGGGAGCAGAGCCTGGACTCAAACCCAGGTACTCCGAAGCACCTATAGATGTCAGTGTGGCAAAAAGCAGCTTAACTGCTAGGTGAATACCTGCACTGTTTTTTTTTTTTTTAATGTCCCACCGCTCAGACTGGATAGGGCCCCTGACATGTGGACTCCCCCAGAAGAGTTCCAACACCCATCAGTCCAGCCTGCAAGGCCATTGTGGGAGACCTTGAGCTGTAGCAAAGCTGTGCGTTTTCCCCATGACCAGTAGAGGGGGCTGTTTGTCTTTGCTCCTGGATACTGGCTGTTTTAGGCTGTTTGTGTGTAGTTTTAATTTAATTTGTAAGGCAGAGTGACAGAGAATGAGCATATCATGTTCCATCCCAAATGTCCACAAATGTTGGGACTGGGCCAGGCTGAAGCCAGGAGCCCAGAACACCATGCAGGTCTCCCATGTTGGCGAGTAGGAACCAAACTACTTGAGCCATCAGCTGCTGCCTCTCAGGGTACACATTAGTAGGAAGCTGGATGAGAAGTGGAAGTGGGACTCCAATCTAAGCACTCCAAAATGTGATGTGTACAGCTTACTTGCTGTACCAAACACCTGCCCCTGGTCTAGTTGAATTATGTCTTAGATAGTTAAATCTAAGGATCCTAGGATTCTCTGGTGTGGATTTTTAAAAAAAAAATTTTTTTTTATTTATTTGAAAGGCAGAGTTACAGAGAGAGACAGAGGGAGGGAGAGACAGGCAGATCATCCATCTGCTGGTTCACTCCCCAGATGACCACAATGGCCAGGGCTGGGCCAAACCAGAGTCAGGAGCCAGGACATTTTTCTGGGTCTCCCATGTGGGTGGCAGGGGCCCAAGGACTTGAGACATCCTCCACTATTTGCCCAAACGCATTTGCGGGGAACTGGATTGGAAGTGGAGCAACGAGAACTCGAATTGGTGCCCATATGGGATGCTGGAGTTGCATGCAGGTGGCAGCTTAACCTACTATGCCACAACACTAGCCCTGAATTTTTAAAAGAAGTATTTATTTGGGCCTGATATTGTGGCATTGTGGGTTAAGTTGTTGCCTGCAACTCCACCATCCCATATGGGTGCTTGTTCCTGTCCTGGCTGCTCCACTTCCAATCCAGCTCCCTGCTACTGTGCTTGGGAAGGCAGTGGAGGATAGACCAAGTGCTTGGACCCCTGCTACATCTGTGAGAGCCCTGGATTGAGTTCCTGGCTCCTGCCTTCAGCCTGGGCTAGCCATGGTCATTGTAGCCATTTAGGGAGTGAATAAGCAGATGGAAGATCTAGCTCTCTGTCTCTCCTCTCTAACTCTGTCAAATAAATAAATAATTTAAAGAGGAATAACTATTTATTTTAAAGGAGGAGTGACAAAAAGGGAGAGAGAGAGAGAGAGAGAGAGAGAGAGAGAGAGAGAGAGAGAATCTTCCATCTGCTGGTTCATTCCCTGGAAGACCACAGTGACTAGGGCTGGCCCAGGCCAAAGGCAGGAGCCAGGAGCTCCATCTGGATCTCCCACATGGAATCAGGGGCCCAAACATTTTGACCATCCTTCTATGCTGTCCCAGGCACATCAGCAGGGAGCTGGATTGGAAGTGGAGCACTTAGAACTTAAATCGATGCATCAATATGGGATGACAGCATTATAGACTGCAGCTTAGCTCACTATGCTGCAATGCTTGCCCACATGATACATTTCTTCTCATTCTCTCCTACTGGGCTAGAGGACGGCAGAGACATTCTGTTTATCCAGTCATATTCCTAGGGAGAGACCTGCCCAAGATCTCTTGGGCTTAGGAGATGGGTACAGCTAGGAGCTGGATGTCCACAAAAGATTCTCATGTTCACGCTCCCATTTGATCCTCAAGTTAGTTTCTTTTAGAAAAATGGAATAATAACCATGATAGGAAGTAACATTTGCTGAGCACTTAACACATGCAAAGCGCTGCATGCTCCTTTTCTTTATATACCTTGGCTCATTGAATCTTCACAAAAACCCTGGAAAGGAGTCTTTGACATCTGATTGTACTTTTCAGCCTCTCATAGTTAAAACTTTGCGTTATGATCAGCTTGTGTTGAAATCATGTACTCAGGAGAGTTTTGGCAAGGAAGACTGCTTCATTCAACAGATTTCTTGAGTGTCAACTGTATGTGGGACACTCAGATAAATAATAAATCAAGACCAACTCTCATGAAGCTTATATCCAGTTGGGAAACAACAGAGGAAAATAAAAATGGACAAAGCAGTATCAGATAATGCAACTGTGGAGAAGTCTAGTCCTTTGGAGACATGCTGTGCCTAGGGTTTAGGACTATGAACTCAATCCAGACATCGAATTTGACTCTTCCTGGCTGTGTGACCTTGGGTACTTATTTAAGCTGTCTGGGTCCCTTTCCTCTATAAAATGGGACTTAAAAAAAAAAATCAGTCTTGGGAAGCAGTAAGGAATTAGAGTGAATTCACCATGCCTGTGCCTGGTAAGGGCTCAGGTGTTAGTTGTCTTCAACAGGCCACATTCCGTAAGCAACTGTTCCCACTCTAGCGCAGGTGCACCTATGAAAGACCCCAAGGCTCGTTCTTGGCAGCCATGCTCTTTCAGGAATCGCGGTTGATCTCCTGGCACTAGAGGAACATATTTAATTGCCGCATGTTCAAGGAAGCTTGCTATGGTATGAATGGGACGTCGCTCCTGAGTCAAGGGTTCATGGCACTAAGAGGGTTGATTTTCACGTGGTGGTTTGGGGGGGGGGGGACGGAGAGCTGGAGGTCACTGGGGGCGTGCCTTGAGAGGGTTGATTATAAAAGTTTGAGAGGCAGGCCTGGCTTCCACTCTGCTTCCTGGTTCGCAGTGTGATCTTTGGTCTGCAAGGGCTGTGCCTCGGGTGCCACCCACCTCTCTTAACGGACATCTCAACCAATGGGGCTGGCCCCATCCTGGATGATGAACCTCCAAAACCATGAGCCAAAATAGACCTTTCTTCATAAATAACTTGTCTTAGATTCAGTGATGAAAAGGTAACTGATTCAAAGGTGAAGACACAAATAGCAAGTATTTATTCTAGACCCTGCAGTTTGTACTTCCAGGGCCCTTGGTCCGCTGCTGTTTTCAAGAACCAACTTGTTGCATTGATTTTAGTTACAGACAGAAATCCACATTCATTAAAACCAGAACTCCGAGGCTGAGGGTAGAGGAAGCCAATGCGTTGGTCAGCGGAACCTCTGGAGTTCCAAGACCATTGGAGTTGGGCCTGGGCTGACTGCACTCAGGGCATGGGATGTAAACACAGGGTGCAGGTAGGGAGATACCCAGGGGAGGCTCTGCCCCAACTTGGGAGTGAGGATCAAGTCTCCCCTCTCCCATACCCTGGCTCCCTAACTTCCCTTTTGGATGACCCTTGTACCAACTCCTGTACTCATGCAGCTGCAATGGAGATGAGAAAGGAAGGGATATCAATTATACACCTCTGCAGCTGCTCTTGTTTTGTGGCCACTTCTGGCTAACTGTGAGGGGACCAAAGGTAGTGCCTGTGGCAGGTGGCACTGGAGTCATGGTATGCTGCTTCCCAGTGTGGGCAGGGCATCCATGGAGCTGGGGGCATGGTGGCAATCTGGTCAGTAGCCAGAATGTCTCCTGGGCCACCCCCGTGCCTCCACTTGATCATGGAGACACGAAACTCCTCACATTGACCAAGCCTGAAGGGCTGCAGCCTGTAAACGAGCCCAGAACCCTTTGCACCTGGGTTCCTGGTTGAGCACCAGCGTGAACATGGAAGTTAGCTCTGCTTTCCAGAAAGCACACGACTTTCTGCCAAACCCTCAGCATGTGACCTTGTCCCGCACACTCTCTCCGTCTCCCCAAATCCTATTTTGCGTAACTCGCCGAGGAAAAGGAAAGCACGTTCCTCCCATTTCTAGCTCGATAGGCAGATGACTTTTACGAGCAGGGCAACTGCTGTTCCCTTTTCAGTGTAAGGCAAAGTGAAAGGCTGGGTTGGGGCAGCAGAGCTTGGCTGGGAGGCACCTTTGGTTGTTGTTCTGTTGCAGTTTCAAAGACTCCCGCCTACACATCTCGGTGACTGACTCCTTAGGATGCACGCAGAGAGGGACGTGTGGGACGGAGTGGCCCCCAAGGTGCTGTCTGGAGGCTGCAGTGCTCCGGCAACGGGCTGCTGGGACCTCTTTTCTGCGGCATCAGGTGGCTTTCACAGTTGGAAGGTCAGCTGAGGTCTTGCTTCTGCCTCCAGAGAGGAAGTGGCAAAAGCAATAGCACATTTTACATTGGCTGTGGCCCTGGAATCTCTGAACTGGAAGATGGGGCAAATTAGTGTCTGGGCCTCTGAGAGCCAGCTCTGTTTCCTTCTTGGCCTAAGGAATGGGAAGTTGGTCTCAGGAGGAAAACTGGTCAGTAGGATTTCCTGATGACCAGTATCTCAGGGAAGTGCTTAGACTGTGCTACATTCAACAGGTCAAATTCTGCCATCTTCCCAACAACACAGAGGTGGCACCGAGAGAATCGGTGGGAAGGGAGGTCCGGGGACCTGCTGACACCACTGTAAACTAGGGTATTTGGTCACTGAAACTGTGTCTCCAGGAAGTTCTGCCCCCACTGCATTCTGCGTAGGGAAGTTCCTCCTGGAAACAGCACTGAGGTATAAATGAATATCGCAAGCAGGGAGAGCCCACTGCTAACATTGTGCTGGAAATAACCAACCAAGTGCTTTCGGAACAAAGGTGAAGCTGTACCGTCAGGCTCATCCTGTCGCTCCTGTATTCAAAGCTTTACGAATGGATTATAAATACTTTGGGCTTCTCTTCTGGTGATGGGGTGCTGGAAAGTTCTATGTTGTCCACAAGGACATTCTTGTCTTCCAGTCTAATGACAGTGGGCTCTGGGCTGGGAGTAGGTGGTGTTGGGTTTTTGTGCATGTGGGGCAAGTTGGCCCAGCTGATGGCCAGGTCTTTGAAAGCATGAAGCATGAACACGCCCAAGATGATGGTGACAAAGCCAGCAAGGGTTCCCATGATGTCCACAGCTGACATGCTGTTCCATTCCTTGAAGAGGATGATGGAAGAGGTGACGACCACCGTGGTGAAGAACACGTAGTAGATGGGGAACACCAGGGAGGTATTAAAAATATCCAGCGCCCTGTTGAGGAAGTTGACCTGAGTGCTTAGGGAGAGAGCCAGGATGAGAGAGAGGATGTAGGGCAGTGGGTGCCGCACAACAGGCAAGCCCTGGAAGAAGTTCTTGATGGTGATGCCCAGACCCTTGACGGCAGACACGGAGAAGGCCCCGATCACGGAGCAGATGATGATGTAGATGAGGATGTTCCTTTGCCCGTAACGTGGGGCGACGACAAAGATGAGAATGAGGCAGGACACCAGCAGGAGCACGGCGAACACGATGAAGCCTTGGGGTGGGGGGGGACACGGGTCTCAGCTGGGGAGGATAGCAGAGGGCATCGGAGGTCCCCAGCCCATGGCAGGGGAGTTGCTGTGGAGTCTGACAAACATGGATCCCCGTCCCTGCTGCAACTTGTAATTTGGGCAAGCTGTTAAATCTCCCGCACCTCCATTTCCTAATGTGTAGAAGACCATCAACAGCAGGACTGTGCTCGTAGGCGTGTTTCAGAAGGTTCAATGAGACAATGTGCATAAAGCATTTAGCACAGTGCCTAGCACGTAATAAACACTTATTACATGGTCTCCACATAGACCAGGTCAGGAAGCCCTTAAGCCACACTGGCTAACTAGCACCATCCCAACATTTTGTTTAGCTTTCCCTCTCCTCCAGGGGGCAGCACCTGAGATGGTCAGAGCCCAACCAGACCTTCCCCAGAGCTGATGCCTCAGGGGGTGCCTGGCCCCCAGGAGCGGGGGCGTACCTGTGTCTTTCATCTTGGAAGCCATCTGCATGATGGTGGTGACCTTCTCCTCCTCGGGGGCGTGTATCACCATCACTGTGCTGCCTGCCACGCAGATCACGCAGCCCAGCTTCCCCAGCAAGTTCAGACTCTCGCCCAGGAAGTAGGAGGACAGGATGGCACTACGTGTGACAATGGGAGAAAGGGTTGAGGGCAGCCGGGCCTGTCCCAGTGTCCCAAAGAAAAATAGGGGCTGATCAAGCACCCACAGCAAACAGATGAGAACTCTGTGCTCCCATTTAGAAGTTTTGCTAGGCCCTCTGTAAACGTTTGAAGTAGACACTGATTTCGGGGAGGGTTGTATGTGTGCTGGGGCAGTAGAAACGCGGGTAGGTGTCTCTGATTTTAAAAACTGAGCCCTCCCTAACAGAGGGGTAGGGAGAGTCCTCCGGAGGGCTCCTCTTCAACTTTCTACCGCAGGAACACATCCGCTTAGCAATGCTGACACACGGTGTCTGGCCTTGGCTTGCTTGCCTCTCGGGAGCTCACTCCTTCACAAGCCAAATGGCTCCATTGTAGGTTTACTCTAATTACTCACTGAAAACACACCCCTTGAAAATTTCTACTCCTTGTCCCACTTCCATTGCTTGGATCGTACAGACCAAATTTATTCCTTATTGCTTTGCTAGATGTCAATATAAAAAAACCACAGTGACAATAATAGGCACCATGTTTTGGGCATGGGTACAGTGCTAGGAACTTTACTATGATTCGTGATACAGTAAAATATACTATATCCATTTCATAGATGAGAAAACTGGTCTCCTAGAAAATGACTTAGCAAGGTCAAACAGCTTTACCAGTCCTGGGGAAGCCAGGACTGCACTAAAGCAGTGTCTGATTATGAAGTGTCTGGGTTTTCCTCTATGCCTCACTGAACAGAATGCTTGTGACTTCCCTGAGTCTTCACTCCTCTGGGGAAAAGAGCTCCAGGAGTTTCGTGCTATTACCTGATGACATGATTTCCCCAGCTCTCCCATTCTCTCTGTGAGCCGGCAGAGGGGACGGAAGCAAGTGAGGACAGGCAGGTTGGGCATGGTCATGGCTCATGCTTCTGTTTCCTTACAATGGCAGCAGCAGTTTAAGGTGAACATCTTTTCTACCCTGGGACCCAACTGCCTTCAGAGGTCCTGACTCAAGCTGTCAGGAGAGCGGGGATTGATACCTAAGCTTCATCCCTCCCTCTTCTGTCTCCTCTAAAGCTACTAGGAAGAATTTCACCCACAGTGTCCTATTCAGGAGAATCTGGTGGCATTCACCGGGCAGGGATGACACAGAGGATCCCATGCCACTCCCAGGGTCCAAGGAGTGGGGATTCTAGCATCAGATACGCCATGGTGGGATCACAGCCACATGAGGTGTGCAGTCAGCCTAGCCAGCTGGTTGTACAATATGAGTCATGGCTTCATTGGTTTTCTGACTGTGGAAATGTTGCAAAATTGTCTTCCAGAGAGTAAGACACAACAGAGAAGATGACAGGTATGTGGTTAGCTGGGATTTACCAGGCTTTCAAAAATGGGCCAAACAGCACGCTCTCCTTCAAAGGGGCTTCGAGACCCTCGCAGAAGGGGTGCTCTGTTTGCAGTTCAGAAGGACTGGGGACCATAGGACGCACGTGCATTTAGTACCGATTATTCTCCAACATGTGTTGAGTGCTTACTTGAGAGGCAACATGGCACCATGGCTAAGGATTCAGGCTCTGGATTTTGACTGCCTGGGTTGGAATCCTGGCCTGGATAGCTGACCCCTAGTCACATTGGGTAGCTTGCCAACTGGATGAACCTCTGGCCTTAGGTAGGGATGCTGTGAGGATTAAATGAGTTAATACCAGAGATACGCTGAGAGCATTTGGTACACAGCAAGCCCTCAAGACGAGAGCTGTGATTGTTTTCTGTTGTCAGTTCCGTACTAAGCATTTCCTGTGCATTACTGCATTTAGTCCTCAGAACAATGCCTCTGGTACATAGCATTAGCATTCCTATTTTGAAGATGTAGAAACTGAGGCTTACAGTGGTTAAATGACTTGCCCAGGGTAAGGCACCTGCTAAGTCATAGAGCACAAACTAGAAGCCAGATAGTGTTCATCTAGGGCTCATGCTTTTCGCTTGTGTGTTTTTCCTACTGAAGCACTGAAACACTGACAGGAGACAGGCAGCCTTCCCACTGGCTTGGGCCCAGCCGGCCTCCATTACCGGCATTAGGGGTAACAATGCAGGGTCCAGAGCACTAAAAAATACCCGTCACTTTCTGGGGCCTGGCACTGTCCTAGGTCCCGGATTGGCCCACCTGCAACTGCAGATCTCAACAAATTGGAAACAGGAAGGAACCGGCAGTGGCTAGAGGGGTGACAACAACCTTATGAGGACGCTGAGCGCTCCCAGAGGTGTGACGACTGTTGCAGGTGCAAATGCGTAGGCCCCGAAGTTGGCAACTTCCCCAGCAGCCACTAGGAAATTAAGGGAGAAAAGACGCTTAGAGCCCTCCAGTGCAGTGTCTCCAGTCCAGATGGTGCTGGCTGGAGATGGCTTCATTCAGTGTTCAACCCACTGAATGGCAGACCCGTGTTCCTTACCTTCTTGATCCTCAGGACCTCCACGGGGAGACTCTGAGCCCAGATTATCCCAAGCAAATCCTTCCATTTTAAAGATGGCAAAGCTGAGGCCCAGAGTCCAAAGTCAGATGAGTTGCTTTTTGAGCCAAGGCCTGCTTAGTCTCCACATGGCTGGACTTCTAGTCCATGCACAGTTAAGTGGGTCTCAGGGACTGCTAATGTTTTGTATTCTTTTAGGGAAGTTCTAGAAAATTGTTAATTATCTTACAAAGAAATGGTTACATTGGTGGACTCTCTGGGTCTCTCCCTCCTAGGGGAGCTGTGGACAGTGAAGTCAAGTCAGACATTCTCAAGGGTCTCAAGTTCCCCATCTGAGTTGCCAGTTTGCAAACTCCTGGAAGCACATTCTCTGTCTCTCTGTTGCTGCAGGGTAACCTGGGTCACCCTGGGAAAGCAGGTGACGTCTGTGACAGCTCTGGTTGGCTAAGCCAGGGATCCCAACCTGCCTTAGGGGATCATCATTGGAAAGTTGATTCCCACCTAAGAGAGTTAGTTTGATAACCAGAGGGGGGCAATCGGGGAAATGTATGAGTGTGCAAATTCGGGCAAAACTTAAGTGGCAGACCGGCTATCTTGTAAGCAGATTAACAAATTAACTGCCTGTGGAGGGGAGAAGCTGGCGTAGGAGTCCTAGCTTTCTACCATGTAGGAGTCCATGTGTCCACCGCCAGTAAGCAGTGGTATTTCCATCCTACGTTTCAAAGGAAGCGGAGAGAACTTGATTGATAGGGGCTCGGAATACATCGTTCTGGCTGCAGATGGTTCACGAGTGACAGAGCAGGTGACCTGAGAGGAGGGTAGGATGTTCTGCCCACAAGGCTTGTCAAGGTTCCCCTTGGGGACCTGAGTCTCAGCCTCATACTTCCCCGGTTAGAGGCAGAAATGCCCCCATCTACTCCTTTCTCCTCCATCCAATGCCCATAGGCCACTGTTACTAGAGCAAGGAACCCACTTACTGGTGAGAAATCCAGCCCACCACATCGCGTCTTTCAGGTAGCCAAAGCCTCCGTCCACTGTAGAAAGCAAAGCACAGAAAGTTAGCACTTGTCCATACCTTCTAAAGCACCTCTCCTAAATCGGCCTTTCACTGGTCATCGATTCTTGACCAGCTTCTGTGGGTATTCATCCCTTCCCAGTGTTTTGAAAACCACCTATTTATGGGGCAACCTGGAACTACTTTCTGAGCCCATCCCTACTCATAGAGCCAACTGTCCTGCGGGTCATCTCTTGTCTCTCTCAGAGGCATCTCAATTTCTGTCTTAAATGGAGCCTTCAATTATATATACATATATATACACACATATGTATATATATATAAAATATATATTTAATTATTTTTAAAGGCAGAGAAAGGCAGGGAGGATCTTCTACACACTGGTTTATTCCCTAGTGAACAGCTGGGGCTGGGCCAGGCTGAAGCCAGGAGTTGGGAACTCGTATTATCCAAGTTTCCCACCTGGGGGATCTGGCCATGTGAGCCAGCACGTGCTGCCATCTAAGGTGCACATTAGCAGGAAGCTGGTATCAAAAGTGGAGCTGGGTGGCCGGCACTGCAGCTCACTAGGCTAATCCTCCGCCTGTGGTGCCGGCACCCCGGGTTCTAGTCCTGGTTGGGGCGCTGGATTCTGTCCCGGTAGCTCCTCTTCCAGTCCAGCTCTCTGCTGTGGCCCGGAAATGCAGTGGAGGATGGCCCACATGCTTGGGCCCTACACCCGCATGGGCGACCAGGAGGAAGCACCTGGCTCCTGGCTTCAGATCGGCGCAGCGCACTGGCTGTAATGGTCATTTTGGGGAGTGAACCAACAGAAGGAAGACCTTTCTCTCTGTCTCGCTCTAACTCTATCAGCCCGAGGTACACAGAATGCAACAGGAGCAAAAAAATGGAGCTGGGCCCAAATTCAGTTGCCCTGATAGGGAATATGGGCATCCAAGCAGCATCTTAACTGCTCTGCCCAAACCTGTGCTTTGAAATGCTCCTAACCTACCCGCAAAATGAAGCTTGGCAAGTGGCGCTTCCTTGTACCAGGTTGCTTAAGCACTTGGGCTCCAGACGTGTGTATCTCAGTGCCTGCTGGGCTCCCTGGCCTAGATGATGGCAATGCCAACTACTCCTGTCGGTTGTTCTTGACCCTTCTCTCTCTACTCCTTCTATATTCCACACATCCTGCTGCTTCTGTCTCCAAAAGCATCTCAGGTGTGACCACTCCCTTGCCACCATCCTACTCCAAGGCACCATCCCTTCTGGTCCAGGCTGAGGCAGCCGCCTCTTTCATGGTTACTCGGGTTCTGCTTTTGCCCCTTCAGTAATGGGTTCCTCTCACGGCAGCCAGTGTTCTTTTAAGAACGCAAATACTATCACACCACTGCAGAGTTGAGAGCAGGGCCCCGGCTTCCAATTTTTCTGAGGATAAAGATCAGGATCATAAACAAGGCCATGCATAGCTTGGGCCTGTTCATCTCTCTAAAGGCATCTCCTGCCACTCTTTGCCTTCTTAGTTCTTCAGAAATGATGGGCTCCTGTCTGCCTCCAGGTCTACACACGGGCTCTTCCTCATGTCCAGATTACTCCCAGCCACCGATGGCCCAAATCTGCAGGCCTCTGCTTGCATTTCTTCCCCACAGATGGTCTCCCTCTCCCACTTAACTCTCATTTCCCTTGGGGTTCTCCTTAATAACCCGCAGCTCCCCTCCTTCATGAAGCTTCATGCCAGTTTGAGTTGATCTGCTCAGCTTCTGCTGCTTGTTCCACCAAAACAGAAGCTCATTACGCCAGAAGCCATGACTCCTTTGTTTGGAGCCTGGTACACGGTCAATGCTTAGCGACAGGATAGTGGTGGTGATGGATGGCTTTGAGACAGTGCTGTGAGAATTCAAAAACTGCATGTGGTTTTCTGTGAGTGCCCACTTTCCTAAGGAGAGGATCCTCACGTTTCCAAGGGGGTCAGAATCTCCCATGGATGTTGAGATCTCAGTATTTTACTCTAAGGATTGAAATCTTGGAAGATACTGAAATACCAGTTTGAAGGAAAGGATTTATTCTAGAGAGGTTGTCTTGAATGACCAACAGTGCTTGCTCTGCTCCCCTCCTTTTGGGAGGCCCATCGTCTTCCGGACTCTTGTCCAGAAGCAAATCCTAAAGCACCACGACCATTGCTCCCTGCTTCCTCTCTGCACCTCCTGGCTCTCTGTTGTGGAGCAACTGGGCTCCGGGTGTGTATCACAGTGCCTCCTGGGCACGCTCACGTGGATGATGGCAACACTAATGCCAGTAATTACCGTCTGCCAAGCATTTTCTGAACGTGTCCCATGTCTCGTCAGTAACCCTTGAATCCGGCGCTTTTCTCACCCTATGTGAGACACGAGGAAGCAAAGTTCCTGTCTTACTCAGAATCTCAGCACCAGGAATTCAAGGGCCTGAATGGGAACTAGAAGTTGCTTCCAGAGCACAGTGTTGCACAGAACCTTGAAACAGAGCATGTCCCAACTTGAGCACTCTGCACCTTCCCATAAACCTGTTGGTCCTTCTGCATTCTTTATCTCAGAAAAGAGCACCATCACGTCCCCGATTGCTCAAGTCCAAAATCTGAGTCACCCTTGACTCCTTCTTTATCCGCCCCATGCAGCCGTCTGCATCAGAGCAGGCGGAGCCTCCTTCCAAAGCCATCCTGGAACCCATCCCTCGTCTCCAGGCCACAGTTCTGTGCTCTCACTCACTTAATTGTTTGCCCTGCCCTGAATTGTGTTCCCTATTCTGTCCTCCACCTAGCATCCAGGGATGTTTTCACGTCCTAACCCAGACCATCACCCCTCTACCCAGAACTTCTCAATTACCTAAGAGTTGCCCTCAAACCAGTAGTCCAGCGTCCATGCACTGGCCCTTACCTCCTTTACCCTTCCACGATCTAACCATCACGAACTGCTTTCAGTTCCTTACACCGGTTCTGTTCTCTCCAACTCTTTGCCTTTGCACACGCTGTTCCTTCTACCTGGAACACCATCTTCCCTCTTTACTTTGCTGTCTGCATATCAGTCAGGTCTCAGTGTAGGGATCAGTTGCTGCAGAAAACCTCCCCTAACCTCACAAGCTTTTTCATGCATCTCTGACGTCCCCACAGCACGGTGTATTTTCTCCATGGCAACACCCTACATCCTTTGTGAAAACTGCCCCTGGACTGTGTGTCCCTCACACTTCACTGAACCCTTTATGTTAGCCTCACACCCAGCACACCAGAGGCAGGCAAGAAGTGATGACTGCACGAATGGATTCTTCCACACATGACTCCTGTTCCCAAGAATTGCATCACAAATGTACATCTTTTCCAAACAGAGTCCCTGTGAACAGAGACTCAATAATTCCATAGTAGCCCCAGGGAGCTCAACTGGATGGTCAGGAGGGTGTGTGCATGGCTGACGCTGGTGAGGCCCAGGTATGTGGGTTCCACGCTGCAGGGAAACTGTGGCCTGTCTTGGATGTCAGAGCTGGGGAAAAGCCAAACCAGGACTGGATTCCTGGCCCTGAGACTCCTGGCTTCACCCCAGCGGCCAGCCAGATTGTGAAGTTCTCAGGAGATACTAGGCTATAAAGGAAGGTCTGCTGTAGACAGGAGGGATTCCCTGCAGAGTTAACAATGAGCCTTTTGCATGCCCAGCTCTCAGACTGCCGTCCTGGCCCCAGCAGAGGGAAGCTGGGCGAGGGCTCAGCTGCCCCGGGCCCTATCCCACTCCCCCCACGTCCACAAGAGCCTACCTGCCCGAGTGGCCCCGGTGGCCACGAGTCGCTGGAGGCCTTTCTTCTTGAGGATGACGCTGGTGCCGACCAGGAAGCTGGACAGGAAGGCCAGGCCGAGGCCGACGTAAAAGCCGTATTTCTGCCTGAACCTCTCCTGCCAGCTGCTCCCGGTGGCATTGCTGGGTACCTCGGGGCTGAGGCCGCTGACGATCTGGCACAGGACTTCATGGGAAGAGCAGTAGAGGTTGATGAAGGAGCCTGGGCAGGAAGGGCAGAGGGAGGGAGTCACATGGATGGCACCACGGGACTGGCCCTGGTAGCAGACTGTATGCTTCTGCCACTGGGCCCTGGGCCCCAACTTAAAACAGCAGTTAACATTCACTGAGTGCAGGCCAGGGACCTTGTTTTCAGGAATTCATCCCATTTTTTCAAGTGCTAACTTTATAATTACTTCTCACATTTTTATTTTACTTGAAAGGCAGTGAGTTATCTTCCATCTGCTGGGTCACTCTACAAATGCCCACAGTAGCTGGACCTCGGCCAGATCAAAGCCAGGAGCCAGGAACTCAATCCAGATCTCCCACGTGGATTCCAGGGACCCCAGGATTTAAGCCATCTTCTGCTGACTTCCAGGGGGAGCACTAGCAGGAAGCTGGATTGAAAGTGGAGTAGCTAGAACTTGAACCAGGCATATGCATATGGGCCATGGGAAGCCTGAGAGGAAACTTAACTGCTGTACCACATAGCTCCAAAAACTGTCTTGAATCCTCATTTGGTGGAAACAGAAACAGAAGCAATAAGAGAGTGGTACTGTCTGTGACCAGAACGGCAGTGCAGGACCTGTAAGCTGGACTGACACCCCGCACACCAGGCAGTGTCCCCTCGGCTCCGAGGCCTCACTGAGTCCAACCTCCTGTCCCCGCCCTCAGGGGTCCCCTCTGAACCTCTTGGCATGTGGGCCTCCAGGAGCTCACAATCCCTCTCCCAGGCCGCTTCCCTTAGTGCTCTGCATCTCTGGCTACAATGGAAGTGTGGGGAGTGAGGCTGGAGAGGGCACCAGCCCCTTCCAGCTTGTGGGAACTGACCATTCTCGGGCATTGCTTCTGAGACGTCTGGTGTTCATTGTCCCTGGCCGGGGCTACTTTCAAGGCACAATGGGACTGACGTCCCTGCCACTCCATACAGACTCCAATTCTATAGTCTCAGAGAGTTGAATCAGCTGTCAGGCCCTAGAGCCAGCACACCCTTGCTTGACCTTCTGGCACAAATACGCAGAGAGGCCAGACCCCCAGCCCAAAGAGCAGAGATGCTCAAGTTCAATAAATCAGTACAAAGAAAATCCAACAGTCCCCCAGTGCTGCTACTCGCATGATCCTCTGTTCTGGAGTTTTCCACGAGGCTTCCTAACAACCACTCTGATACCAGCACAATGATCCATCCCAGGCTCTCACCTGAGAAACTGAGGCTGCCTAAAGCAAATCAGTAGTGAGGAGTGAAGCCAGAATTATATTCAGGCAGACCTGATGCCAAAACCCGTGCTCTTAACCACCTGCCCATCCCATGCCAATAGAGCATGCAGAAAGATGGGGGGAGCCTTCATTTGGCTTCCTAATCATTGGCTGAAAATACAAATCAATTACCAACATTTAAAAATAGATTTCCCAGGCAAAGGTCAGAGTCAGAGCTACACTTGACACAGAAGGTCTGCTTCATTCACCTGCGTAATGACCCACTGGGCAACAACTGGCCGAAGCTCTGCAGCAGTTGCCCCTTCCAAAGCCTGTTGCCTGCAAGTCCCTAGAATCTTTATCTGGCTCCCTTCAGTCAGGTTTGTTAAGGACTTGGACTGTCGAGGTACTTGACCTCTGGAGGCAGAAGTCTTTTTCCAAGAAACTCTGTTTGACAAAGGCCCGGGCTTCAGTGCCAAGGATATAAGCCTGGACCAGGCACCTCTCAGACCAAGTGAGAAATTGTAGCCAGTGTCTACAAGGAACCCAAAGTCCAAGGTCAGGTAGTTCTGGCTTTGGCACATCTGCAGTGCAGAGAGGCCCTGGAAGGAGCGGATACAGGGGAGTGTTGATCTTTCTTCCATGGCACACAGAGCTGGAGGACAGCCAGTCTAATCCTCTGATTTCAACTGGGGAGACTGAGGCCCAGAGAAGGAAGGGACTTGTTGAGTTACACAAGCACCTGGTGGTGGCACTAAGTCTGCAAGCCACTAGGGCTGTGCCTGTATCTCAGCGATGGGAGGGAGATCTCCCTTTCTGACACCTGTGTCACCACTGCAGCAAGATGAATCAAGCAGCCTTCTGGGTCCCTAGTCAGACTTGTTCCTTGTTGCTCATCGTCATTTGCAAGCTTGGGCCTCCTTGCTCAAGAGCTGAATCTGGGAGTCCAGGAAATGAGGCAGAGCCTGGCAGGAAGTGGACCAAAGAGCCAAGTCCGTTCCCACATCCTTCCCCTTCTCCCTGAAGGTGTACTTCTGCCAGGTAGAGCCGAAAGACCCACTGTGGGCTTGGCTGTCACTGTCATGGCACCCACTGGCTCAGCACCCTCCGCAGAGTACAGAGTCAGTTTCCTCCATCATGGTGAAAAGACACAAGGAAGGCTGATGGTCTGAGGAAATCCAGTTCTGATGAGGATGTCCATCTGAAGAAACAGGTGTTGGGCTAGGTGATTCCTGTCTTCTCTTCCCAAACGTGGTGGAGCTGCAGATAATCCCGCCACAGAACAAGAGCAAGGCTGCTAGCAGCCTGCCTTGTTGGCCAAGAAACCCAAGGCAGCCATCACCCAAGTGTCTGTCTTTGAAAGCCCCACTGGAGAAGGGAAGAAGTTAAGAGAAACGGAGCTGTTCCACAGACTGCAATTCCAAGACAGAAAACTGTAGACACACCAAGGAAGGGGGCGAGCCATTGTAGCACAGGGACATATCTTAGAGTCACAGAGCCCTGGTTTGTATCACACTGCCCCAGTGTTGTGATGCGAGCGCATCATTAGCCTTCTCCGAGCCTAGCTTTGCACACCTTCAGAATGGGTCAGTAAAGTAACTGCCCACCTACCTTCTAGAATTGTTGGAAGGACTGACTGAAATAATACCAGTAAGGGACCTGGTCCCCTGCCTGCTTTATGCTAAAACTTAACAGGAAGCCGGGAGTGTTTGATCCTTTTTTGCATTTCTATTGTTCCTTGTTCTAAGGGGTATGGGAGCAATGAGGGGTTTGGGATCAATGAGACTCTGGGTACCTCTGTGCCCTGTCTTTCAATAGCCAGACCTGGACAAGTATTAAAACCATCTGAAGTCACTGTACACTAAAAAGCTCAAGACCCCAAAGCGCCCAGGCCACCTGTTCCAGCCTGCAGCACCCCTCCCCCATACTTCCCCAGGGTTCCATTCCTGGCTCCCAGCTCCCAGTGAGCCCAGCGGCCAAGATAGAGAGGAAGTCCCAGCTCGGACTTTAGCAGAGACCCCTCCCCAGCTTAGACCCTTGGTGGCAGAGGGTGGGCAAGGCAGGCGGGGTGCCCCCCCTGGTATTCCCCGCCCAGTGCACGCACCGTTCTCGCAGCTGGAGTTGCTGGCCCGAAGCTCCATGGAGCCCCTGCCGGGCTTCCCGAGTCCGGAGCAGGTGGCCGCGACTTGTCCCAGGCGTGGCTCGCGCGTTAGAAGCCGCCAGGGTTCCCACGCAGGGGGGAGGAGAAGGACGCGCCCCAGAGGCGGAGGGTCTCCAGGGTGGAGTCACCCGGCGACTCGAGGAGCTCAGGAAGCTGGGGGCCCGACGCTGAGGCCGCCCGCAGAGGGGCGCATGCCCTCCCGGGGTGTGGACTCAGCCCGGCTCCCGGCGCCCAGTCGCCGCCCCGTGCCAGGGGCAAGAGGCGAGGGGGCGGGTCCCCGAGCCCCGCCCCGCCGAGCCGGCTGGGCTGCCACCCAGCCGTCTCTGTCCGGGACAGAGCAGATGGTCCCCAGGCTGGAGGGCGAGGGGAACAACCTTCTTGCCAAGGTGAAAGTAGCAATGGTAGGAGAGTAGAAGGGGGTATTTCTGCCAGGGAGGGCCCTCCGGAGTCTGGGTTACTCTTCCACCCTCCTTCCCTTCCCTACTTCATTCATTCAACGTGGAGATCTGAGCTGCATCAGGAACTGGCAGGTAACAGGTACATAGTAATTGTACTATAAACGCTCAACGTATGTCCACCCTCCCCACCCCGCATAACCTTATATAGGAATGTAGGAAGCAAAATAAGATCAATTCTCGAAAGATGGATGGTTTTCAAATTGTTTGCATTGTGTACGTGTGGGTATGCACACACAGTTGGGATGGAAGGCACATTTGTACTGTGGTAATGGTAAAGCCGAGTTGGAAAAATGCTAACGCGGACCACGGAAGCGTGGATGTGGTGCTTGCCACGGGCGAGGCAGAGTCCTAAGTGCTGAGCAATTCCAGCTTACGTACTTCTCCTGCCAGCATGAGCTGCGTAGTGTGATTATTTACAGAAAGGAATCTGTGGCAGGGAGTGATCAAGTTAACTTGCCCAGGATCCCAGCTGAGAAGAGACAGAGCCCTGGTCAGAATCCTGCTGTTCAGGTTGCCCTAAGGCTCTGGTATTTGAGACTGAGAAGGACGCCTGTTCTGGGCAGTAGCAGCGTGGGGTGGCTGAGAGAGCAGTTGTCTGCACTGGGCACCTGCTTCCTGGAGGAGGTGGCTGGCACAGGTAGTCATCTGTGGGTCCTCCGTGCAGCTGGACCCTGCCCTACACCCTTCGTAGGGATTCTCCTTTGAGGCAGGTCCCCTTCTTACCTCCAGGGTACACATGAAGGAAAGTATTTTTTAAAACTTGATTGTAATTTCATATTTATGGAGGAGTTATAATAGTGCAGAGTTCCTTGGTGTTAAATCTTGTACAGGAGTAGAGAAACATGTGTCCATAGCTGGGAGCAGAGGGGTGGGCATAAACAGGGCTAATCTGGACCCCTGTGTCTGTCGTCCTCCGCTGTCCTACTTGTGGCCTTCCACCTAGGTCACAAAGAACAAGTTCTAGAGGCTTCTTCCAACTTGCTGGGTGACTTGAAATATCACTTGCTTCCCATAGGGACCCATTTCCTTTTCTGTCAAGGAGAGAAGAATGCAGCTCCTTCTTGTCCCTTTCAGTGTGTGTGGCCCACCAAGGGGGTGTAGGGACTGGGCAGGACTGAGAGTAGAAGAGAAAGCGTTGTCACAGGCATGGCCAACAAGCACATTCACGTCCAAAGGGTCTTTAGGAACACCCTAACCTTGGAGGGAATGGAAGCCAGAATTCAGAGATAAGAACACCAAGACCAGTGTACACTGGGATGCAGAGCAGCAAGATACTGAATAGCTGGTGCTCTTGGGAAATGGTAGTTCATCTTGGAGAAATTGGTGCCTTGATGCTAAAGGATGTGGCGAGAGAATGGAGTTGATCTTTCCTGGTACCTAAGCATTTCTGCGGCACAGATGCTCCTTGTGCTACAAAACAGTGTCCACTCTGCTGCTGGCCCCAGTGCAGCCCTCAGACCATCTCTGCTTTCACACTTGATCGCTCTTGTCCCAAGGACTCAGGTCAAGAGATGGGAGAGTGTGTCGCTCTGGCTGGACCTTTGATTTTTCAGTTTTGCTAGGGTAAAATTGACAAATGACAGCAGTCTGTGTTTAAGGTACAGTGTAATGCTGAGTATACATTGTGAAATGGTTACCACATTCAAGCTAAACAGTAACGTCTACCCACCTTGCTTAGTTTCCTTGGGTGTGGCTTCTCTTAGTGGCCTTGGTAAATCACAATTTTAAACTGCTATTGCCATAGGTGAGCTCAGAGCCTGAAAGAAAGATACATCTGTGTGTTCTTTAATACATTTATTTTGCATGTGTTTGTGGATTGTAAATTACTGAATGTCAGGGTTCACAGCAGGAGTCCCCTGGCTTGAGGCTAAGGGCGATAGTGAGTTCATCCCATGCTTTGAAGTGGGACTTTGCAGAGCCGGGTGCATTTCCTAGGTAGGAGCTGTGATCTGTGGAGCAGGGAGCTGGGGTCCACTGCAGGGCCTTCACACCTTCTCTGGGCCTCAGCTCCCGTATGTCCCTGGAGGGGGCTGGGCCTCCCCAGGGCTGGCAGTGGAGCATCTCCCCAGTGCGGTCATAAAGGGCCCATTGAACCGCAGGCTTCTCTGCTGCTGTCCTGACAAAGGCCTTTTCTTCTCAAGCCACAATGGCCCTGTGAAGCAGGTAGCAGGGCCTGCAGCATTGTCTCCCCTCTCCTCAGAACGGACAACAGGGTTCACTGTCTGTTCCAGGCTCAGTCTCCCTGGGGTGGTGGGCAGCTTTGGAAGGGTCTGGCCAGCCAGGGACACAGAATTGGCTCTTTTGGCCAATTTTCTACTAAGGACCAGGAAAACAAATGTACCAAAAACTGAGTTTCTAGAAACTTGACTTTTGTAAGTGCATCTAAATGTCTTAGAGTAGAGCTGCCCTGCCCAGAAAGGTAGCCACCAGGGCAATGGAGACGTTGACAGATGGCTAATTTGAAGGGCGACTTGCTATAAGTAGAAAACAGTCTCTGAATATTTCTGATCAGATAATTTTCTGTGGTGAAGGGTGTCCTGTGTATTGCAGAATGTTAGCAGCATCCTGGCTTCTGCCTTACAGATGGCGGGAGCCTACCTATCTCCTGGTTTTGACAGCCAATTGGGCTTCCTCCTGGTCTCCCATGCGGGTGCAGGGCCCAAGCACTTGGGCCATCCTCCACTGCCCTCTCAGGCCACAACAGAGAGATGAACTGGAAGAGGAGTGACCGGGACAGAATCCAGCGCCCCGACCAGGACTAGAACCTGGGGTGCTGGTGCCGCAGACAGAGGATTAGCCTAGTGAGCTATGGTGCCGGCCAACAACCAATTACCAAAATCACCCCAGGTTGGAACCACCCAGATTTTTAAGGCTTAGTAAGAAAAAAGAATGTTAACATATCATTAATGATGTCTTAATATTGATTATATGTTGAAACGGTAATATTTAGGATATGTTGTTTGATAAGATACATTATTAGATTTTCCTTATTTTTGATTAAGCAGTTACTGACCTATTTAAAATTACACTTGTGTGGTTGCTGTTATATTTCTATGGAACAAGGCTGCACAGGGGAAGGAACTGGGGGCCATAGAAAGAAAGTGAGCAGTGTTCTGAGTGTCATTGCAGCTGAAAGGACCCCCCAAAACCGGTGCGTGAGGTATTTCCAGTGTGGAATGGTCAGAGGACTTAATACAGTGATATTAGTGCCATTTACAGTGGGCTCGCTGTGTGTCACATGCTTGCTCATTTAATCTGTGCAAGAACTTGGGAAGCAGCTTCTGTGATTCTGCCCATCTTCCAGGAGAGGAAACTGGGGTCCGGGGGGACCCTCAGCCTGTAAGCTGAAAAATCTAGAAGCAAATTGCAGTGCGCCATGCTAACTACCCTTCCTAGGTCTAGCATGACTCCATGAGGATTGGCCAGGTCACTTCTCTCCACCTCCTACCCTGGGTTAGAGGCCTGGGCAAGATAAGGTCTGCTGTCCTTCCCAGCCCTGCAGAGCGGTGTTCAGAGCAGGCTGGGGAAGGACAGATGGCATTACCTTCCTCAGGCTGATGAGCACTCCAGGGCATCTGGACAGTCTGCATGCCAGGCAGGCCCATTGTTTCCCAGGTGTGTCCCCAGAATGGCTGCTGGCCTCCAGAAGAGCTTTACTGTCACAGAAAATAATGTCTGGGATGGACACAGGCACACTCGGTCTGGCTCTAGGAAGCACACCATGCCCATAATGGGGTCCACATGCCACTGGCATCCATAACGACGTCAAAACTCATGCTGTATTCCTGAAGTCTTCCTCTGCATGCCAAGCAATTTGCAAACATGAGCTCGTGTGCTCTTTACAGTGCTTTGCTCTGGGTACTGTTTGACAGATGAAGAGCCTGCGGGATTTTCCCAAGGACAAACACGGTGATAGAGATCCGAGCTGGTTTTGTTGTGTGTCCCTCCAGTGGTTCTTTTAATGAAGGTGTGGTGAGATGAGGCCAGAGCCTTCTTCCTGAGGCCTCTCCTGGCCCTCCTCTGTGTGGGGTAGCTGGGAAGAGGGGGCCATCCAGGAGTCGCAGGGAGCACCCACAGAGCCTTCCTGCCAGACCCTCTGCAGAGTCAGAGCTGGAAGCACTCACTTCACCCAAACTCGCATGGTTTGTGAGTGGGGAAACTGAGGCACAAAAGAGGACAAAGTCATTGCCAGCCTCAGCTAATTTGCAGCAGAATCAGGTCTTCACTCAAAGTCTTTTGAAGCCTGATAGAGTCAGCACTTTTATCTCTCTTCATGTTTTCTTTTGGGGCAGAAAGGATTGATTTGAGGTCAGATCATGAGAAGTTGCTACAATTTGATCACGTTTTAAGGATGAGCCAGTACACTAGGAGTTCACATACATTATCCCATGAAATTCTCATGACAGTGCTGTGAATTAGGTACTACTACTATTTCCATTTTAGAGAGGAGAACACTGAGGCTCAAGAGGGTTAACTAACCTGTCTGCAGTTAGATGGTGGAGCCATGATGAAACCCAGAGATGGTTTCAAGAGTCAGGCTCCTGATCACACTACAGTTACGGGATGATTCCACCGGTACATCTGCCCACAGGTGGAGGAGTTTCAAATTATTGCAGAGGGCAGAGCTCACGCCAGAGCATGCATGTGGAAGTGCAGCTTTGCTTGGCCTGGGCGTGGGTGTGCAGAGAGCCTAATGCTCTTGAATTACATGTAAGAACTTTAGATCTAATCAAAACCCGGCTACAGTTAAAACGATGCTGATACAAAGCGTAACTTGTTGCACAACTTCTTTGCT